CGCTTACTCGAAATGGCCAGAAGTATTTGAGATGCCTTCATCGTCAACTACAGCTACCCTGAGAGAACTCAGATCTCTATTCGCTCGATTTGGAAATCCACAAGTGATCGTGTCGGATAATCGGACTCAGTTCACAGCAGGGAGTTTCAAGACTTCTGTGAAGAGAGAGGAATCAAGCATATGCGTTTACCACCATTCCATCCGCAATCAAATGGAGAAGCGGAGAGTTTTGTGGATATCTTCAAAAGGAGCTTCCAGAGAATTAAGGAGGGAGGAACGGCAGAGAAGCTTGCGGAGTTTCTACAGTCTTATCGACGGGCGCCTTGTACAACTGCTCCAGGACAACGTTCGCCTGCCGAGCTGCTCTTGGGACGTCAGATAAGGACACCACTGTTGCTGCTGAACGAAGACGTCACAGAAGAAGGAATGGGCAATGAAGCTCTGGAGAAGCAGTTCAACCGCCGTCACGGAGCACGAAAGAAATCGTACCAGCCACAAGAAGCCGTGCGGGTACGTGATTTTCGCTCTGGATGTGAAAAATGGATTCCAGCTCGAGTGAAGGAACGCTATGGAGAAGCTTTATATGGCGTGCTTACTGAAGACGGTCAGTTATGGAGACGACATGCTAACCAGATGCGCCGAGCAGCAAGTTTGGATCGACATTATGACTCAACGCCGTCCATTCCCGACGAAGGCCGACGTAACAATGGTGTGGATGCGGATGTGGATGTGAACACCAAGCCACCTCGACTACGTCACCGACATCAACCAGACCAAGTCGCCGTCGTCGCCCACCAGAACGTCTACAAGTAGTTCCTTATTATAAGATGTACCGTTGTTCATCTTAGGAAGGAGGTGTTGTAGAGCCGTCCCTTATATTGGAACTTGCTCACTCACTAAGGCTAGGTCGATATGGTCTCTGTGGTTGCGGCGTACCCGCCGCACCTTGATATATTTGTGTGTGTTGTTCTCTAGTTATTCCTAGTGAACCCTCGGCATGTACGCCGATAGGCAGAGGGGGAACTCTTGTGTTTTTCTAATAAATCGTCAACGGCTTAACGCGTTCCACAACATGAACATTTGCGAGTATGGCGAACAGCTTTATTCATATCTTGAGGTTATGATGACAATGCATAGGGGGTTTTAGGGCAGAAAATAAGGCTTACTCTCCCGATTAAGTCTAAGTCGGGTTCGCTCCAGCAGCAAAAAGTCGGATTTTCCCTCAATGCTCAAGTCAAAAAGCATCCAGAAGGTAGATGCTCGTTGCTTCCGATCTAGCTGAAAAACTGCAGATTTTTTCACTCAATGCAGGTTTGTGGAGCGAAATACATGTGAAAGCATTTTCAAGGCAAAAAAGCAGATAATCAGTTTTTTTTTTTGGAGGTATGAAACGGCTTGACCAGGGAAGCTGTTCAATCTTTTCAGATGTGTGCCCACCTAAAAAAATTCGGGAGCTAAGAAGTGCTTCCTTTTCAGTAAAAACTCCTATAATTTTGTCCAGCCTTCAAGCCTGCTTTTTTCAAAATTTTCAATTTTTTCTTGGATAACCAAACGAGAATGAGACCCATTTTGATGACTAATAGTAGGCTAGTGAACACACGGCTGTACCAAAATTTGGAACATTTTATTGACAACAGAGTGAGTTTTAGCACTTTTTAGAGTGGACCTATAATTTTGTCCAACACTGTATTATCGCCCAGACGTATGTAGCATTACTTCGCCACGCCTGTATTCACCAGCATTCCACTGCACGAATGGGTGCATCGTCTGCTCAATAAAGCTCTAACAGCTTACGTGTTCTAATAACACATCAGAAGCCACTATACTCCACTACAGGCGCCACCCATTCCCCTAAGGCTACAATAAAGCCTACAGCCACCACATTTATGGTATGGCATGACCTTTACGGTGCTCAGGCAGGAGTAATGATATGTAAGGAAGGTGCCGACAAGTCGGCACACTCCGGCCAGCGGGAGAAGTAAATGAGAAACAGCGAATGAGCAGCACAAAACCATCCACAATTAACGTAAGCAAATATAATCCAGTACTTATCGGGATACCGTAGTGGACTCCATGAGGAGTCAGGTGAATGGGGATAGAATTGTGACTGATGTGGTCGTGACAGCTGGCATGAGGTGGCGAAGAAGTAGACGGTGAAAAGGCAGAATAATGCAGATCATCATTACGGAGCGAATCCGCATTAGAAAACGAAAATACAGACTTGGAAATATAAAATTGGTCCGTTCTCTTACTGTTCTTGAGTTGTCGCTTTGCATTCTTGTACTTTCTGGTAAGATCGTTTCCCTTAGATTGACTCACATCAGGCATAGTGAGTTTTGTTGACGTCAGTCCTTCGCGAATTGCTGATTTTTTGCCATCCATGGCACCTCCACAAGCCACAACTGCACAGTCTTCAGAATAGTGTTCACACTCCTCGTTTTCGTTGCCTTCTTCTACGGTCGCAGGGGTTTCGCTCATCACTGCTACACTCTTGAACTCTCTTTCCGTGTCTAATGTAAAAGGGCGAAGCAAGCTGGATTGCTGTCTTTTGACTACTTGACTTATTGCAAAATTGCCTCTGTATGTTTCTGCATAAAGAATCTGATGTTCTACAATATAAGCAAAAACATCAGCATCAGAAAGCAACTGATAAAAATTAGTCTCCGTTTCGAGCTCTTCTAGCTGGAGTACGATTGCTTTTTGAGATAAAATTCTTCAATTTGGTCGACTACTGACTGCAAAATTGTCGATCTTGCTTTAACTTGCGGTAGGCAAGAAAGGAACATATCAAAATTTTCAAAACATTTCTTTTGCAGCTCTTTAGTGTGCTGCAAACTGAATTTAACATCTTTGAAAGACTCAAACTTTTTGAGTAGATTTGCTAGTTTATTTCAGTGAAATACAATTGCCTCTTTGAAAAATTTTAGAGACATTTTTGCTGTGAAAAATTGCAATTTTAGCAAAAATGTGGCTGCTTTCGAGCCGTTAAGCTACTTTTTGAGCAAAAATTAGGAAATTGTCCCTAAATGCGGTGGAAGATGGCTGTCGCTGGATGCGAAGCAGCGGATTTCGGGCACTAGGTCCCAAGGTTAGCATAGCTTTGTGCAGTCGCTGAGGCGAAGCAATGATTGGCCTTACGCATTTGGCCGATGCACAATAAATGTGGTGGCTATAGGCTTTATTGTAGCCTTAGGCGAATGGGTGGCGCCTGTAGTGGAGTATGGTGGCTCCTGATGTGTTATTAGAACACGTAAGGTGTTAGAGCTTTATTGAGCAGACGACATGCACCCATTCGTGCAGTGGTAGAATGCTGGTGAATACAGGCGTGGCGAAGTAATGCTGCATACGTCTGGGCGATAATATACTCATATCACAGCGGGTCATGCTCCCGACAAGTCGGCACAGTGAGCACTGGCTTAATCTTGCGTTTTGGTTGATACTGTTGCTTTGCTAAAGGGTTGGGGACTCTTTTCTGTACTCAACAAGGTATTTGATCGGATAGTTCACTTATGTGTTCTCAACTTTTCAGACTCCGAAGAAGGTGAGTTTGCCGAAACGTAAGTCTGTATATTGTGGAATAAATATCTGTACTAATCTTGAACGCTGCTAAAGAAATCAAAGACAAACCTGACATCGACTACACACCATGAAATAGCATAAGAAACTGTGTTACCTTGATATCTACCCAAAAAGGTTCCTCTTGTAAGGCTCGTTATACGAGAGCTCTAGTCAGTTGATTGTATGGCATGTACCAACATTCATCTGACAAATGAAAGACAAGCTACTTCTGCAGCAAATGCACTTTTAAGGCCCGTATGCACGTACAGGGCTTTACAACCTGAGTGTCACAGCCGCCCCGCTCGGCCGCCACGCTTAGGTCCGCGCAGGGTTCGTGGCGCTGGCTGCGCGTTGACTGAAGCTTGGCAAAAGCCCAGGCGATGCGCCGCAAACGCCGCGCGCGGCCTGAGAAAGGCGGCCGCGTTGGAGGAGCCGCGCAAGCGGAGGCTGTGACTCTTATGCTGAAAAGCCCTGTACACCCACGCTGGGGAGGCGAGGGCATCTGAGAGGGGATGCGTCATATCTCGTTAATCTACGTATCTTTCTTCTTCTTTATCTTGCTTATGAAGGTTCTCATACCTTTGTACCTGCGCATAACAGATGCCAGGTTACTGCCAAGCAAGAATGGTTTTTTGCCATTTTGTGTGATTCCCAGGGAATCTCCTGGGAAGCATCTCTTATTTTCCAAGTGATTTATCTTCCTGAAGTCAATGAAAACACTGCAAACTTGTACTGTGGATATGCTACGGCACTCCTAAGCATGTTTTCGAAGGAGAAATGTAATCTGAAAATTGCGAATTTTTTGACAATCTCTAACTCGCGAGTAATGGTTCATCAAAGATTTCTATATTCTGAGATTTTACTTAATTCTACTATAAACATGTTTAACAGTGCCGTAGTATATCCTCAATACAAATTTGCAGCATTTTTATTGACTACTCAGAAAGTGATTTTGAAAATGAGAGCTGATCCCCTGAAGATCCCCTGGGGATCCCTAGGGGATCACACAAAATGGCAAAAAACCAATCTTGCATGGCAGTAACCTGCCATCCATTATGCACAGGGATAAGGGTATGAGAGCCTTCATAAGCAAGATAGAGAGAGAGGAAGAAAGATACGTAGAGTAGCGAGATATGACGCATCCCCTCTCAGATCCCCTCCCCTCCCGAGCTGGGATGTACGTGCATACGGGCCTTGAAGAGCAAAACGTCAGATTATCTGGATGTCTTACATCTTGTTCAAACCCCTGCATATCGACTGCATATATGATTGCAGAGCTACCAGAAAATCACCAGCTCGGGACAACCGTTTGCGCCACCTTTTCTTAGGATCAAATGTATGAGCCAAGATACCTCCTCTACGGAAGATAATGGCTGCTTGGAATTTTTTTTATATTTTCCTGAAATGAACTTTGACTTGCTGAATTCGTGAATGATCTCACCTTTCCAACAGCTCTCCATAATCTAATGCAATAAGTGTGACACTGAACACCTGCGAACAGCAATCTATAATCCTATATATAAAGGCTCAACAAAAGAAAGTTGAAGCCGTCTTAGACTCATCAAGTTGCGCGAAGACTGATGAGAGAAGATGAGAAATACTATCACGCTCAAAATGTTTGAAGGTGCCATGTTCAAGGTTGAGAGCACAAAGAACATTGGATCAGGACAACAGCAAATAGTCACTGTTTGAAACACCCAGATTTCAAGAAGAGGTAAATAACCGAACATGAGGATATTTAAGCAAATGTTTACAGCCTACCATCCCACAAGACAACAAGCATTAGTATGAACAATGACAAAAAGCTTGGACTGACGAAGCAGAAAAAAACAACAGTTGGAACAACGGTCATTCTAGTGCATATATCGTAGGATGCAACGATTATGTAAAATAAACCCAAAACTTACAAATATTGCACGAATAAACGCAAAACTTACAGATATTGCATGAATAAACGCAGATTACGACTGCAACAAAGCACCAAGGGACCCACTTACCGAATGCAAATGGTGCAAACGGTGTCTTGGCACGCAGCCAAATGTCAAAAACGCACTACACAGCCCCAAGCTTCAGCCTCCCATGAGTGGCGAGGGTAATCTGCTCTACTCCGTGGTACCGCATCTCTGAAAGTACCTAGATCCCAACGATAAGATAACGCATGTTTCACGCTTCTCGACGCAGTGAAGATAATTTGTTAGCGTTTACAGCACGTACCCAAGTAAGCTGTTTTGAATATGTCCTTATTATTATTATGTCCTTATTATCTTCTTCTAAATGAGTAGCAAATACTAGAAAGCACCATGAATCGTAGTGTGCGGTTACCACACTTTCATGACTGAGCGAAGCCGCAGTTTCTCCCTCAAATATAAAGTACAAGTAGTTTTTAGAATTTTATGGGAACAGTATAGACAAGGAACAAGATTAGTTGGAAGAAGTAACATCAATAAGTTGGAAATCTTGACTAAATATATGAGGATCATTATTCCAAGCACCAGATTGCAAGCCTATACCATAAATTGTTGAATATGAAAACAAGGTCAGCGAAAAAAAAACAGATTAGATCAACATCTGTAATTGCACTCTCATATAACTATCTGGAATCTAACATGACATTAATAATGTACTGTAGAATCGACTTCATGTGGACAGCTGTTTCGCATCGAACGGAAGTAACCTCCTCTGACAGTCTTGACTCATGCATCTCGACAAAATTACACCTTCTTGACGAATTCTAATCTTAAATCATTGACGTTTCCTCCAGCAAAGCAGCGTTTGTACTGGTTCTGGTAAAAAAATTTTACTATTCAAAATGAATAATCAGTTTTCACAATCCTAGAGGTCACCTAAACATTGCATGGGATCCTTGAAAGAAGCTACCATGACATTTCGTTAGGTGATTCACTAGGGATTGTGAGTGTGACAAGGATGCAAAATCTCTCCATTGAACACTAAGAGGGCAGTCATTTAGGCTTTGACCATACATTACCAGTGCTACCCGCTTACTAATACTACTCGTGTCACCACTTTCATTGCTGTTGGGTAGTGAAATGATCACTAATGCAATCTCATTCTCACCGACTGTAGAAATTGGGTAACACGGGCAACGCGGGTAACGATGGTGATTCGGGTTACACGGGTAGCGCTGGTAACACGGTTAACAAGGTAACACGGGTAACACGGATAACATGGGTAACATAGGTAACACCGGTAACAGGGGTAACACTGGTAACGTATCGTCAAAGCCTTTGCTATTTATATCGCATCGACTTGTTATGATAACGCATGTGGAGATATGACACCTACTTTTATGTCTTTCCACGAAGGGTGTTGTCGTAACAAATCGATATGATATCGTCTTCAATAAGCTCCCTATGCAAGATATCAGCAAACTGGGAAACAAACTCCCATCGTGCACCTACTGTAAGCTCACTGAAGAGGAAATATAGTCGTCCTCACCCCACTAGTCGGTCGGTGGTCGAATTTGAATTCGAACTGGAGCAGGCCGGCCGCGACAGAGCGCGGCAGACCGCCCCTCAGTCGACCGCCTGCACGAGCTTTTTTCTTATTTTCTTCGTGTTTCTTTGCTATCTTTCATATCGCGGCAATGTTCTTAATCAGTTTCAGATTTTGTACTGCTAACTATTGTTTTGTGCAGTTGTGCTCGTTTGTTTCACATTTTTTTCCAGGTAAACCGGGAAAAAGGATGCAATTGGAGATTTTAGATGAGAAATCTCTTTTCCAGTAAGTGACATAGACACAAATGTGATTTGATGAACTTTGTCAAGTTTTTCGTTAGAATGTGTACACTCTGAACTATTTTTTGTAATAGGGCTGAAATTCCTTCAAAAAGCGTTTGTTTCAAAGAGTTAGCGGTACGATTCTGAAAATCTGATTAAGAACATGCCGCAATACGAGAGATAGCAAAGAAACACGAAGAAAATAAGAAAAAAGCTCGTGCAAGCGGTTGGCTGAGGGCGGCGCCTGCCGCGCTCTGCCGCGGTCGGCCTGCTCCAGTTCAAATTCGAATTCGACCACCGACCGACTAGTGGGGTGAGGACGACTATACCGAGACCCACTGTGTGAGTTCCGTGATTAGCGAATATATCTTGAGTATTGCACAATTCTCGTTTTGGTATGTCATGCATACTGATTGCTGCGTAAGTTGCTGTTCAGTACGTGCGATTTGGCCGCTTCACCTTCCGCTATACTATTCGAGCGTTTGGTTTGGTAGCTTCGTCTGCCATCCTAAAATTGTAAGAAGTTTGGGAGGGAATGAAAAACGCTATAGAACAGCGCGTAGAGAGGCATTTCGACTTTGATTTTCTTGAGACAAAGTAAACATACTTTTCTCCAATCTAATGGTTCCTACTTACCAGATACTGAAAATCTGCTGAGCGCGAGCGTTGTCGCACTGGTTTTCCTAGATCGCATAGCGGCAACTCGCTTGAGGGTTCGCATTCTCGCTTCCAACTGAAGTGCCTCGATTGATGATCCGAGGTGACAGCCGTGTTTTCGCCAGATGTGACAGCATTGTTTCCTGTGAATAAAAGGTTTTCTTCCATTTTTTATTCAGTCTATGATGCTGCATAAACGGGAGAAACATCTGAAGGCGATGAACTCAAAACTTGCCATTTTTCAACGTCAAAATCTTGGCTTTTCCGGAAGCGTTGATTGCTTTCAGTCTGCTCAGCAGTTTCGCTCTTCGTTGATTTCGGATCCTCTCAGATCTTCGGCGCTTTGGAACGTCTTGATCAGTATCTTCCGATTCCAACAATTCAAGATCTAACTCAATATTTTGTTCCTCAGATTCTTCAGCATCTTTCTTGAAAATATGCAGTTTAGAATGATGACTGAGCACATCGGCCAATCATGTTAATATTATTCATTCGGAAAAAACTTTACAAATAATGTCCAGTGATTACCTCCGCTTCTGAAATGCTAGGAGAAGACGGAGCGCGTCGCCTTGGCCTTTTCCGAGGATTTGCAGCAGATTTACCTCTCGCTCGTTGGGCAATGTACCACGGCTCTTCAGAAAAAATCCAAGAAAGATTACACAGCTCTTCTTCCTGATAAAATAGAATCACATCTAGTTATAGTCTAAATAGAAGAAAAAAGAAAAAAAAACATCATTTCGCATTTACGAATGCTGCTCATTGGAACCCAACATTTTATATATGTGGAATGGCTACATAATGAGAGTTTTTTCTTTTTTTGATAAAACCTGCCTCAACCAATACCAAAACTTCTTCTCTCAAAGCAATTTTTTTGTCACGCATCTTTCTCTCGAAGAAAAAATTGCCCAGAGTGCCACTGATTCATAGAGATCTGCAACAGCCATCAAGAAGGGTGTTCTTCAACAAATGATTTTCCTACGATTAGTTGTAGTCACTTTTTCCATACTTCTTTCAGTACAGGGTGGAGAAAAAAAGAAGAGAATAGATGAAGTGCTGGTAATTGATTATAGGCACTTTCTACGTTGTTTACGACTTCCGTATACAAGTATTCGTCTATCTTTAGGCCCTGATTATGGATATAAAGTTGAACAGTGTGGTAGCCTTCAAGATCAGGAACAACTCGCAAAAAATATCATTTACACAGCCAGCTCTGCCCAGCCTTGTCAATATTTTCGTAATCAGCATGCTCACTTACCTCCTTGTGCCACTCTCAGCTGCATAGGTGAAAGTTTACAAAAAAAAAGTCGATATGGGCCTATGACACCCGCCCCGCCCCGAAGTTTATGTGTAGTTTGGGTCGGATCGGTTCAAAAATAAGAGTTTCTATCCGGAACATACATAAAGACAGACATTCAACTTTATAAACATATAGAATTGAAGGATGGCGGGATCGGAGTTACGCCGCCCACTGTAGGGGCTCTAATGGACGGTGGCAACTGGACAATGCCTTCAAAGGCAGCGTCCAGCAGGGCTCGGCACGAGCTGGCACCAGGGAAATTTCAAAACGAAGTCCCGTTTGATATTGAAAATTTCGTACGAAGTCCCTTTTGACCTGTTTTGAAAACCCGTCATCATTTTTATATTATGTAAAAAATGTAGTAGTGTTTTCATGCATTTCTGATTTCATGAAAGAACTTTTCACAGCTTTCTGAGCTTTTAAGCGGTCGAATCACATCTTGAGAAGCAGAAAAAGTCGATTTTTCAAATGCGGAGCGAACCGAGTGGTTTTCAAATTGCTATAAAACGCTGAAAAGAGAACATTATGAAAATGTTTCTTCTCCGTATGTAGTCTTTTACAGTGTAGATACATTTTTTGTAAAAAAGTATGAAAACTTATGTGAGCAAAGTGTCGGTGCCAGCTCAGCTGGCTCCCAGCTGGCACGGTGCCAGCTAATTCAGTAAAAAGTTGGGCACAGCTTTCATTGACATAAGTTTTCATAAATTTTTGGCCCATAGTTCCGGGCCACCAACGCGCATGCACACACCAAATTTGGTGTCATACTATTGCGTTTTGGCTGAAAACAACGCCTTTGTTTGTTGATGGACAGCTTGCCAATGGCATGCCGGTGGCATGCCGGCGGCATTTTTGCGGCAGTTCTCCGCCTCGGCCCCTGTAGAAACGATATCCCCTTTGCTTTCCGCCCTAAAAACGATATCCAGCTTGACCCGGTGCCAGCTGTGCTGAGCCCTGGCGTCCAGGCAAACCTGGACTTGTGGGGACCTCAAGTGGATAGTAAGTAATTTTCTAACGACTGAGATATTCCCCTGGACCCCAGGATTGTATTCCGCATGGATTTATGGCGCAGACCGTCAGTTTCGCGAGGACCGACGCGTTGCGCCATGAATTCATGCGAAATACGATCTTGGGGTTCAGTTTCGAGGGGAACAGCTCAGCCGTTAGAGCACTACCTGAGCTGCCGGTTGGGCAGTGCCTTAGCCAAAGGATAAAAAAAAAGGATGCGGCGTCTTCAATACCCTCTGCGGGCATGCGCCAAACGCACATTACTTCATAGTCGAAGAGGCGATTGTATGCGTGGGAGCCTTTACAGTGACTTGCGCGGGCCGGCCGAACACCAAGTCAGTGCTTTTATCCGATTACTCTGGCACTTACCGGCCCCGAAGAGTAGAGGGCTTGGTTGGCTCAGGGGCGGGATCGAACCTGTGTCCGATCTGGTCATAGCGGCGCCTCATACAACTACGCCCCTCGTCCCCGTGCCTTAGTTACGGCCCCAAAATTGCTTTCCGCGTAAAATCTCCATAGGTCCAGATGGACGCTGCCTTTGAAAGCATTGTGCAGGCCAGCTAGGGGTGGTGAGGTCTTGATGCTGTGCGAGAGCAGGGCTTATGACTAGCAACAGTTCCAGTCCGATTGAAATAAGTTTGAAATAAGTGGATTAGGTGGATTCTGAAGCGAGAAATTTGCTTCGGAAAAAAGGGGCGGTACTCCAATCCCGCCTCCTTGACAAGTTTTGGCGTGGTAAATGCGCTAGATCTACTGTCTTGGCCACAAAACTTGTCAAGGACGTAGGACTAGAGCGCCGCCCCTTTTCTGAAGAGGGGGGGGGGGGGGAAGCAAATTTCTCACTTCAGAACCCACCTTTTTCGATCGGATTGGACAGCTTCAAAAGAAAAAATATTTGAAAGAACAAGTAGTATTGATAGGCGCTAGTCTTTATTCCAGGGCTCACCGCGTCTAGCACAAAACCGATGGATATCTTTTTGATGAAAGAATAGAGAAACTGCAAAAGCACAACATACCGTTGGAACTTTAGCGGTACTTGCTGTACAAGGCGGAATTGTCTCCATTCGTTCACCACATCTTCGTATTGTTGGTAGAGTAAAGCCTGTTGCATGCGATGCCATTCTTTCAGGATTTTCGAAAGGTGTACCAGCGATATTGTTGCCAAGACTGATATATGGTTTTGTTACGCCGACGTCGAAGAAACATAATCTTTATTGAGTTAGAAACACTGTGCCTTTTCACTGTAAGTCTGAAATTCGAAGCACGCAGAACAGCAATGCTCCTATCTACGGGGTTCTATGGGATTTGTCAAAGGATTTAATTCCTATTTACGTTTTTATCGAAACTTTGTTCATGTATCTCCTGAAATTACTGCAAAAACGACAGACGGTAACATCCTAGCGTTTTTGCTCGAAACCTTCTAAGTACAGGCGCTTCTCAACATAAGTCTCTCCTTCCTAAAAGCTTCAAACTTTTTATCTAATTAGGTTCACGCGAAAGTTTTTGCGTAATTCCGAAATTCGATATTTGACTAGTAGACCTATATTCGTCATGCTTCCCAAAAGTAGTAGATTTGCGCTGCGGATAGATGTTCAAGCTAACTTTCTATGAGCTGTTCACTGAGACCGAAGGTTTCAAGAATAGCGTTTCAAATTCTGCGAGTTTAATTTGGATGCCGAAAATTGTGGAAAACTACCTAGCCGCAAAGAAACGTGTAAAAAAATCCTTACATTGCAATAGCCTTTCCGTTACTGTGTAAGGCTTCGTCTTGCATGGAAATTCAAAAACAAACAAATGCTACTTTATGTTCCCCTTATCAACGCATTTCCTTCGCATCACATCTCGAGACCAGAAATACCATCTGGTTTTTTGAGTGTCAAGTAATTTTTGTTGCTGATCTGCAGTACTAAAAGAATTTTTCCTGCAGAATGACAATTTTTGTGAATATTTGCCTTGCATTTCCATGCGAGTAGAAGCCTGCCCTAATAGCATATGGTACTGCTCTTAAAAAATTCTTACAGATTTTTTGGGGCTATCTAGCAGCCCTCCATTCTTTGGCATGAACTCATCGCAAGACTTGGAACGCCACATTTTGAAACATTTTCGGAGGCTAGGCTACAGAAAGTTTTAAAACATCTATCACGAAGTATGATTTTTTATTCCGAACTTTGCAAAAACCCAGTGTCTGTAAAAAAACCTTTCGGATTATAAGCCCGCTTCAAAAGCATGCCAGAAATTTCTTCGGATGCGAATTCTGGGAGAAGTCAATGTGTCTAGGAGCGGGATGCACCAAATTAAGCATACAGAGTGTCCCAAAAAGATGTGCACACTGTTTGATTGTTAATAACTCTCTTGCTTTCATATCTCTTGCCGAGCTTGAGATACCATTCTTTAGAGCGAGATTCAACTTAGATTTACAGCATGGAGCAACTACCACTCCTTCTTCATTACTGATTACGGTATGAACTTTCAGAATACAGCGTCACTGTGGAATAGGCCTCTTGACAAAATAATTACAAAAAAATCTGAAAATTTGAGTAGCAAGATTTTCAGGCGTGCTGATTTCACTACACAACTCTTCACCGGTTTTTCGAGCTTTCTTGATGGCGTATTCACATTTCTGACGAACACTGGAAAAACCGCTTGTTACTCTAAACCTAAAATAACTCATGAAAGAAGCGCTATACTGAGTCGCAATTTCCATATTTAGAATCAACGACTTCGACTGATCCATTTCAAGAGTTTCTGGCTTGTTTGGCTTTCTTGCTGAGGAAAAATATCGCTCTTAATAGCTTAAAATCCTCCTCGAAGTTCCTACCGTAATCCTACAGTAATGAAAAGCAACTGATAATTCGCTCCATAATCTAAATCTAAGTTAACTCGCTCTAAAAAATGGCACCTCAAGCTCGGCAAAAGATGTGAAAGCTAGAGAGTTATTAACGACAAACAGTGTGCACATCTTTTTGGGACACTGTGTACAAGATTTCAAGTACATCCTTTGTTCACAACGCGGTTTCACCTCGTCTTAAGATTTCTTACAAACTAACAATACTTACGCTGCAAATCTCCTGGAAAATTCTCGGAAATAAGCACAAACTCTGCCGACGACTTCTCTTGTTTGATCGCAAAGATGACGTGGGCGCGATGGCTAAAGAATTGATGTTATAAACATCTTACATGAACTTTTGGTTCTGCATCTCGTGACAGACATGTCATCGACGCAGCTACCAAATCACACTCGGATTCTGCTTGTGCGTGAAAACCATTGATCTGTTTCTATGACTGCTTTTGTGCATAGAATACTTGCAAACGCATGCGAATCGCGATTTGCAGGTTGTTCGGGTGAATCCTCGATTTCGAGTTTTTTTAAATTTTGAGCCTTGATGGGATAATAATCATGCTTTTCATGACCAAAAAGCGACTTCTGAAGTTTTATCCAAGACCTGATACAGCGGCAACACAAAATCATGTCGGACGCTCAAAAGCTGTCGCTAGGGAAGACTGCGACTGCGGCTTTCCACAACTACAGTCGAGTAGATTTTCCGCTCAATATAGTGTGCTTGCACTGAAGGTGAAATGCGGTAAAGTTTGCGCGTAAAGAAATAGCTACGCCTGTGACGCCGGCCATTTGCGCGCGCAAAATGTTGGCATTTCTGGCGTGGCTAGTTGTTCACGCGCAAATTTTAGCGCATTTCACCTTCAGTGCAAGCACACTATATTAAGCGGAAAATCTACTCGACTGTAATTCCTTCTGGATCCGCAAAAAGGATGTTTCCCGTCCTCATTGCTGAAGAAGCTGGAGGACAGATTCCCGCCAAAAAACAGCCACTGGCTGCAGGAGACTGCACTCCACCCATTTCGACGGCAAATGCTCGTTTGGCTCAGGCAGCCAATCGCGCCTCAGCTAGCGGGAATCGCTTATCCAGCTCCTCCAGCTTCCTCCAAGTCCGGAAAACACATAAAAGCAATTTTTCAAACTTTTCAAGAACAGTCCTGGACTTAGCGCATCCAGAAGGCTAAGGATTGGCGAGAAGCCCGCTGTTGTAATTTTCCCGAGCCATTGACTTTGAAAGCGCTATATCAAGCAGCATTCGTATGTGGCTTCCATATAACTACTAAATTGACATATCTGTCCTCTAGCGACTGAGATTGTTTTTCTCAATAAAGCCATCGGAAAGTTTACCGTTTTTACACCAGACCGTCGTCGGAAGTTTACGTCCACCATGTTAGGATACTTTACGATCGATAGATATGAGTGAATCCTTGGCTTTTCACTGTTGACCTTCAAAGTCAAAAAATCACAAGACGACTAGCATAAGACTCTCAACAACTAAATCCACCTTTACCCACCCTGTCGCCTGCAAAGTCCGGTGATAAATGTGACTGCGATGTTGCCTTTGGAGACGAATCGGTCGAAACTAAGGTAGAAAAATCAGAAATAGGGGAAAATGATGCAGTTAGAATATGAGTCGACCTGCTTTAATTGACTTCGCCATGCACTCAAAAATGCTCTACAAGTTGCGCAAATTTTGATCGTACTTGCGGAATTTTGTAACGGATTTGTAAAAGTTGTTCCCGACTACCTCAACATTTTTTCTAGAAATTTGGTAGCTAGGAGAATCACATCTCAATAGTGAAATCTGCGCTTTATGCTACTCAAAAAATCTGGACATATGGGGTTCTGATGTGGAAAGTAATTTTGGGGCTCTAACTAAGACACTGCCCAAGCGGCAGTTCAGATAGTGCACTCACGGCTAAGATATTGGGCTCCAAACTTTGCCCCGTGATCGTATTCGCATGGATTCATGGCGCGACACATGTGGGACCCGCCCAAAACTGATATGTCGCGCAATGACTCATGCAAATATGATCCCGGGGTCCAATTTGGAGGCGAATTTCTTAATTGTGAGTTCACCATTTGAGCTACCACTTGAGCAGTGCTTTGGTTAGGGCTCCAAGATTACCATCCAAGTGAGATCCCCATAGGCCCAGATTGGCCTGGACGCTGCTTCAAAGGACCAATTCACAGTGACAGCTGGACCTGAGGTTAATCTCCCAAGTACCAATACCTGAGGTATTGGTGCTTGGGAGATTTGAGCAACGAGAAATTTTACCGCTCTTACAAGATTCAGCATAAACTCACTATCAGCACTCCTGCCAGCGTTCCGCATTACCACATCGACTGTCTGGGACCTTCTCCTAAAAACACAGATATGGTACTAAACTTGAGCAATTTTTCATGTTCAATAACAAAATTACTATCTACTGATTGTTTTTTGGCTGCATTCTTAGGCCCGTATGCACGTACATTCCCGCGGGGAGGGGAGGGGATATGAGAGGGGAAGCGTCATATCTCGCTAATGTGTATATCTTTCTACTTCTTTCTCTATCTTGCTTTTGAAGGTTCTCATACACTGATACTTGCGCATAACGGATGCCAGGTTACTGCCAAACAAGATTAGATATTCACTATTTCGTCTGATCCCCTGGGGATCCCCAGGGGATCACTTCACATTTTCAAAATTATTTATCTTCCTGAAAACTCGATGAAAATGCTCCAAAATTGTACTGAAGATATACTACAGCACTGCTTAACATGCTTGTGGTAGAAATGAGTGAAATCTCAGGATATCAAAATTCTCGATGAACCGCTGTTCTCGAGCCAGGGATTATCGAAAAAATCAAAATATTCAGAATCCATTTCTTGTGTCGAAAACATGCTCAGCAGTATCGTAGCATGTCTTCAATACATTTTTGCAGCGTTTTCGTTGATTTTTCAGAAGGATAAATGACTTTGAAAATGCGATGTGGTCCCCTGGGGATCCCTCAGGGGATCAGACGAAATAGTAAATATCTAATCTTGTATGGCAGTAACCTGGCATCATTATGTGCAGATATAAGTGTATGAGAAACTTCATAAGCAAGATAGAGAAAGAAGGAGAAAGATATGTAGACTAGCGAGACATGACGCTTCCCCTCTCAGATCCCCTCCCCTCCCCGCGGGGATGTACGTGCATACGGGCCTTAGCTGAAGGAAATTACACACTTTCTGCCGGAAGAGGTGAAGGCATTTACTTTTGCGGTTCTTCATCGTTCCTATCTGCGTATCTCAAGTGCCCTAATTCTCCAAAAAAAGGATATTAGCTTGAACTGGCGACTGAAGACAGGATGTATATCATAGAAGCGTTTACAAACGCTGACTCCAAATCTGCTATCTTTTTTTTACGGAACTACTCTTCAGTTCTTTGTTTTATGGAGCAACTCTTCGAGAAGTTCTTTTTTTTTACGGAACAACTCTCCAAGAAGTTATGAGCGTTTGAATGTCCAAATTGGTCAAGCTTTAAGTGGATAAAACAACTAGCGGAATGCTGTACGAGAGCATCTATTTGAATTTCCACTTGCTGTGTTCCGCCCTTGTAATCGATACACCTATACAAAATTGACTACCCACTTTCAGGTGGAGGTTTTTGTAGAGCTTGTAGAGCGGGTCGCTAATTTTAAGCCAGTCAAACATGATAAGTATGGGCATTAAAACGCTCAAAAATTTTTCGGAGAGTTGTTCCGCAAAGAAGGAAAGCAGATCTGGATCAGTTTTTGAAGACGAGTTTGTGGTATACTTACTGTGGTAACTAGCTTGCTTACCCGGCTCCGCTCGGTTTTGTAAAAACACTGTAATAAAGGTCCCATCCCTATCCCTGTACAGCCTTTCCCTGTGCCCACTTCTACACTTCATTTCCCGTTCCCTGTATTGTTTTCGAAATCAGCATGCCCATTTACCCCCCTGTGCCAACTGCCAGCCGTGTAGCCCAAACTCTGCAAAAAATCGATAAAATCGATAAAAGTAATCGATAATTCTGAAAACCAATACTGTATTCGGAATCGCCATGCTCAACCCCCCTATGCCAACTCCCAGCCCTATAGCTCAAACTTTGCAAAAAATCGATAAAAGTAATAGATAATTCTGAAAGCCCAATATTGTATTCGGAATCGCCATGCTCACATACCCCTGTGCCAACTCCCAGCCCTGTAGGTGAACTCTGCAAAAAAATCGATAAAAATCGATATTGATCGATAACGATAAGTAGCCTATGATACGCTCCCTGCCCCGAAGTGTATGTGTGCCAAGTTTGGTCCAAATCGGTTCAGAAATAAAAATTTCTTTTCCGCACATACGTACATACGGACATACAGACAGATATTCAGCTTTATATATAAGATTGCCAACTCAAGTTAGTATCCTTCCCTGTTAAAAGAAATCCCTTAGCAGATTCAGGGACTCCTTCCAGAAAGGAAATTTTGGGTTTATAAACCAATGAGAAGTACTCCGTAAAATCTCATGTGAGGTACAGAAGTATGGCAAAAGTCACTTGGACAAATCGCCAGTCTTACAAATGACAGTGCTTGGGCTCCGGTTTCAAGTATAAATTTACATTTATCGGCTTAGTTTCTTTTTGAAGTTTGCCAAATAGCCGCAATGGAAGGTTCAAAAGTCTGGCAAAGGCTTTACACAGAGCCTTTGCCAGACTTTTGATTCCATTGCGCACTAAGCACAGTAACGTGGCTAAATCCATAAAAGTTGAAAATCATTGTTTTCATACGGTTTTGTTTTCATACAGCAAAGTGGGCGGGTGACCAGCTGCGCAGAGTGACCAGCACCGAATTACATCCTTTCCGGAGCAGATTTCTCGCTCTGGAAGCAATCTTTTGCTGCGCCTTGGGGATTTGCCTAAAGTGGGAGCCAACGCTAGTATGCCATCGTAACCTCGTCAACCCCACTTTGGGTAGACGGTGCCTTTAACACGTGTCGGACCGCGTGCTGTACACGGTAAATCGCCAGCTTCATAACACTTCATGGACCATATGAGTCTGTCAAATTCTAGCCATATCAACCTACAGACTCAATCTAAGCTTCCCTTAGCACCTCTTAGGCCTGCACCAACTACTTTGGTTTAGGCTAGAAACTGGCTAATCAACGTCACATATTAAAGCGACGATGCGAAATCGCGTGAGACGTAGCAGGTTTGTTTCAGCTTACAAGGGAATGGTTAGAAAAGTGGCCAACTTAAATAAGCTGCACATCATTCGATGCAGCTTGAAGGGAAGTGCCACAGATCGCAGTGGCCATTTAAGACGGGATGAGCGGTGCGGCACGTCACTCGGAAGGGCATTTCCAAAACCACCATCGCTGACTGCAGAACAACTTTGGGAGGGGAGCTACGGGCTTTTTCCGCACACCCAGCGCGCCTTACTCGAATACGACTACCACCGTCGGCCAGCCGTATCGGTTGGCGCAGTGGCATGTGTGCTGACTATCGTGAGGATGTTTGGAGATTCAAATCCTCCCTCGGACAACTCTTTTGCGATTTATATACAAACTCCTAAAATGTGTACATTAGTGGCCAAAACGTGTTTTACTCCTTTACTGGTGCTTAAAAGTAGAATTTTTTTCTGCCAAGATCTCCTGAACGCGCGGTGAAGCACTCAGTTAGACAAAACTTTATTGTTAGATCTAACGTGCGACACAATACAGTGGAAAAAGCGAGAAAAATGCGTTCCTAACCTGTAGTAAGATTCCTGTCATGTGCTGGACATAATTATAGAGACACTCTAGAAATCGTCGTAATTTTCGTTCTTGTCAGTGAATCTGTCTGAAACTTTGCTGTATGGTGCGCATGTAAGCCTGCCATAACTCTTCAGAACGGCTTCCAATCCCGTTGATTTCGAACGGAGAAAAATGGAAAAATTCGAAAAAGCCTGTTTTGCAAGCTGGGCATAATTATAAAGACACCTGGCCTTTTTAAACATTATCGCATTCCTTGGCTCCCAAATTTTTTTGTAGAGTTACATCCCAGAATATGAAACTTTTGCGGCACCTAGGACCTGTCATGCTACTCAAGGAAAGATGACCCTTGCATCTTTCGTTTCCAAAGGCATCAGAAGCCAAACTGCGCTCAACAAACAGCTGGTTTGAGGAGTTTTCAAGCCCGCGTTCATTTCAAATGGCAGTCCTGGAATACACTTAGCCTTTTTGATAGATAAGGTGAAGAGCGCTTTCGTAAACTCCCCGTAATCGCTGATATTGACAATCAGACTCCAACCCGGGGGGCGCTCGTTACGTGCGGGCTGCCAAATGGAAAACGTCGCAACGCGGCGCTACAGTAACCGCGCGGAGGAAGCAGCAGTGTAGAAAACTTGCAGGTTTATATCACTAAATTGCCAATGCAATTTCTATATTGTTAGTGTTTTACCTCCTTCAATTTGTGTCTTTTTTGTCCTTTAACAACTCATTTTTCAACTTTTGTGGCAGAACTTCAAATAATTAAGTGAAACTAGCATAGGAATAGTCTGTGAACCTCAACAAAGGATGAGAAACTGAAAAACTATGTGCTGCAGATCATGCTGGCTGAATTCTCCAAGTGCGGTCACTGGCAGCCTGTCGCGCGCGACGTTTTCCAATTGGCAGCCCGCACGTAACGATACGCCCCCCTCCAACCCCATCATAAGATTGTCACGCTTTTACACCACAAAAGTCACTTTCCAATGTTCCTGAAGTGATGGACTCGATTTATTACATTGTCTACATGGAGATGCATCTTTTGCAACAACTTTTAGGTTTTTTCTAGTGCTGCAGTTGCCATTTAGATCTGAAATACTTTCAAGGAAAATTCTATGCGAGCAGTAGATTCAACATAATCACAAATCTCACTATTTTATTCTCTGTTTCATGTCGCATTTTGCGCGGTAGCTGAGATTAGCAAGATTTTGAAGTTTCAAGCGGTCTCCTGTTCGATTTCTTGATTTGAGTTGGATATGATTGTGCAGGGTGCTCGACTCAACTCTCAACGGATGACAACTGCAGCGGAACCAGAATGTGCAACCCCGAAATTTTTTCCTGACTAGGCACACAAATTTATTGTTGTACGTGTATTGTTGCGGCTACATTGCAGCGTTTTCTGTAACTTGAAAATCGAGTTTTGAGGTGCAAAAGCGCGACAACCCTATGGTGAGGTTGGAGTCTGATTGTCAATATCAGCGATTATGCGGAGTTTACGAAAGCGCTCTTCACCTTATCTATCAATAAGGCTAAGTGTATTCCAGGACTGTCATTTAAAATGAACGCGGGCTTAAAAACTTCTCAAACCAGCTGTTTGTTGAGCGCAGTTTGACTTCTGATGCCTTTGGAAACGAAAGATGCAAGGATCATCTTTCCTTGAGTAGCATGACAGGTCCTAGGTGCTGCAAAAGTTTCATATTCTGGGATGTAACTCTACAAAAAAATTTGGGAGCCAAGGAATGCGATAATGTTTAAAAAGGCCAGGTGTCTTTATAATTATGTCCGGCTTGCAAAACAGGCTTTTTCGAATTTTTCCATTTTTCTCCGTTCAAAATCAACGGGATTGGAAGCCGTTCTGAGGACTTATGGTAGGCTTACATGCGCACCATACAGCAAAGTTTCAGACAGATTTACTGACAAGAACGAAAATTACGACGATTTCTAGAGTGTCTCTATAATTATGTCCAGCACTGTATATGATATTGTAGAACAAAATGCTTAAAGCAGAAAAGTTTCTCGCAATAAGAGCATCTTATGAAGGCAACCTCAATGTTTTTTGCTTTTAAGCACCAGTAAAGGGGTAACACGTTTTGGCCACTAATGTACACATTTTGGGATTTTGCATATAAACTGCAAATTTGTCCACCAGAGGATTCGAACCTCGAAACATCCGCACAACAATCAGCACCCCTGCCACTGCGCCACACCGACACGGCTGGCTGACGGTGGCAGTCGTATTCGAGTAAGGCTCGCGCTGGGTCTCGTGCGGAAAAACGTTCGTAGCTCCCCTCCCAGAGTTGTTCTGCAGCTAGCGAGGGTGGTTTTGGAAATGCCCTTCCGAGTGACGTGTCACACCACCCGTCCCATCTCAAACGGCCACTGCGATTTGTGACACTTCCCTTGTTAGTACGGTGACTTCAAATTTGTTTCCCATATCCGCTGACAACCGGTGCAGGCGAAGTTATGAGCAGTTTTACCGCAAAAATTCTACATGAAAATTGCGAAATCAAACGCATTATCGCCCATTCGGTTCATCTTTGAATATGGGCCTCACGAAGTAACCTAGCTGCAAATTTTAGTCCAGCATTAAGCCAAACATGGGAACGCGTACGGCATTTGCCCTGTACACGCACGATTTCTTAGCAAGATAACGGCCCCCAGTGGCTTATAACTTCAGCTACAAGAGTGCTCAGCAAGTAAGGAAGAAAGATTTGGAGTCAGCGTTTTATATTGCATCTAATGGCATGCAGTTTGCTTGAGCTGAGCACTTAGATTTATGACAACTTCCTTGCTAGTTTTTTGTTGTCCAAAGATTTGGATTGTCGCCTAACCCCCTAAACCGGAAGCACAAGATTACCAGATTTGGATTTGACTTGAACTTTGGGGAGAGGGATTATAGTGTGTGCCCCGACCAGCTTCCCATAAGTGCCTCCGCGCCGCTCATGCAGCGCGCGCTCCGTTGACGCTTCTCATCTCAATTATGGGCAAAAAAGCAATTTTACATGAAGATAGGAGTAAAGTAAGAAGTGGAACCCTCTTATCTCTGCTTGAAAAAAGCCTTTGCAGAAAAGGCGTTTACAACTTCCACTAACACTTAGTCTCTAATCAGTCTTATGGATGCTTGTATGATACTACTAGTGGTGGATGAAAATCTAGAACTAACAAAGTGAGAGGGTCATTCTCAAACGTTTCCTTTCTGTGGTCATAAAGAACCTGAGAAGTGTAACCTCGGGTGCGTAATCGTACAAGCAGAAGCTTCAGTGTTGCATTGAAAAGGAACTAAAAGCGACTATACAAGACAAACTTGATTGGATAGATACGTTAACTCCGTGACAGAAACCTTTGAAGAGAAATACCCTGAAATACTCTCAATTTTCACTACCGAAAAAGAAAAACGAGAGCTTTCTGAGACAGAAGCTCTCAAGACTTTTAAGGCTCGTAAAAACTTATCACCATCAGCTGCGTGGTTCGCTTAACCCCAAAATAAAGAGATTACAGAAAGAACAAAGTCAGTAAAAAGAGAAACGCATAAAAACCAAAGGCTAGGACGAAAAGCGCACTGAAGGCGTGTGCTACGAGCGCGGCGCGGAGGTACGTATGGGAAGCTGGCCGGGATCCACACTATACTTGATCAGTCTGTGCCAATTACGTGATCCCTTTCGCATAGGCATCACGCATTCGCAAGGCAAAGGCCTTGCGCGCGTACCTGCAATCGATGACGCCAGTTTGTATGCTCAAACGATACGCGCGCGAACGTGGCGCGAAGCTTCCGGCGTGGCAATTGCACTGCTTGAGAAAGGCGTGCATGATTGACACAGAGTATAGTATCCTAATTTCACGCGTACGCGGGGAATTTTTCCAAAATCGACCAACCCAAATACGCCAAAGAACTTCGCAACCAAAGGACCCTATGCCTTGCTGTATATTGCTTAAGAGAATCGTACGGCATAAGGATCGCTTTTCGAAATAATTTAAAGCGGCTGAGGGACTTAGTCGAAATATCGAAAAAGGTGCGCCTTGTACGCGAAATTAGGGTATTTATTTTGATACACAATGAATTCCCTAGGTAAAGTTGGATGAACCGAGTTGTTTTTTTTTTCGCGACCTCGCGGTCCGAAAAATGTCATGCTAATCCACGCTCCCAAGTGGTCTTAAACTAAACTATTGTAAGTAATAGAAGATAATAGTTACTAGTAAGCTCTTGAGCTAGTAGTCGAGCCCTAATGTTTATTAGTGCGTCCGCGTACGGGAAGAGGTTCAATTCTTCAATATTTAGCGAGATATTGTGGAGTACCATACATACCATACAGTTATGGCTAGAAATCGGATATAATTTCAATTAGAAATTCTCTTGTTTCAGTAATTAAGCCATTTGGCATAATGCGAAAAAATCGCAAGGCTTTCACGTGAAACTTGTAGCCTATTACACGCATCGCCACTTGTTCTGCTCTGAGGAGCTAGCAGCGAGAAAACTTATCCAACCCTCGACGCTTTCCTCCTAAATATAAATTTTAATCTATTAGACTTGAAACACTACTTTGCATAATGTGCCTGCTTGTCAAGGCTTATCCCAAGTCGATGAGGGGTTGGGAAGACGACCACATCCTCAAATGATTTGATAGGCCCAGAGGTTTGGGGCATGATGGTCTCGGCTGAAAAAAAGTTTGTTATGAATTTGTTGTGTAGTAAGGAGCAATGTATAGCTACAAACATCCAATGTAGGGAATCAAAACTATCTTACCGTTCGTGGATACGCTAATTTTTGGAGAAACTTGCGAGATCAAGGCAGTATTAAGGTCTTGGCTTTCACTATTTTCCTTCAACAATTACATCAGAAAGCAAGAAAGGGAGTTGGAAAGGAAATTACGTGTTGAGTGGCAGTCGAATATGTCGTTGCCGCTGTGCCCATTTGCATAGTTTGAGCAACCTGAATACCTGCTTATACGTACATAGATCACCAGCAGCGGTTCGAGGAATGCTTCCCAATACTTTGTTGGCCCTATGACTTCGAATTTTCAAAAACGGGACGCGGCAGCAATCACCCCTAAACTTTTGATTCACTTGAAATTGAACCAATTCTTGAAATTTTAACATAATGTTTTGATTTTTCAACGATGAGAAACTGTGACATTGTGATTGAGACAGCCTCTATGCATAATCTCACAGTCTATCCATTTGAAATTCGCGCTCAGCAAACTGGGTGCGGAAAGTTTCTTACCCGAGCCGTATTCTCGCACTTAAGTGATGTGCTTGCCAGACACATCCGGGCTCACTTACTTTCGAGCTCCGTAGGAGACCGGGACATCGCAAGCTCCGCCCCCTTATCCAGTGTCGTTTCAAATGCTGAAACCGGAATTTCAAAGAAACTTTCAAAAACAAAGTTCAAAAGTGAATTTGCTCCAATCAAGACCAAATTTCGGATCTAGGGGTTTTCGAGGTTACTTTTTTCAGTAATGAGGTTTGTTGTTGTAAAGTCAATGTTCAGCACCGGTAATGCTTGACCAAGATCAAAATTCGATTTCAGAGGTTTTCGAAATTTTACTATTTCAAGACAAGACCAAAACTCAGTTTTGAGGGTTTTCGAAGATTTATGAGTTTCAAGGGTTTTCGAAGATTTATGAATGGACTATTGAAAAAATATCTGCAGTATGGATTTTCATGAGATTTAGTCCTAAATACCAGGATATGGTTGAATCAAAACAGATTGAAGCAAACTTTGAACTGGCACGTGTGTGAAAATTGTTCGTATCTGGAATAAGTTTAACTTCCACTATGCACAAAATCTCTAAGGTCTTAGAATAGCCCGAGTTTATTTCAAAATTCAAAATCGCAATGTTGCCTCCAGTGACAGCCATACCTGCGATTTACGTGTTGTGCAGAGGTTTGTCAAAGACATAATTTGAAGTGTGAGCAGAAAGCCGATTAGCATGCCTTGATTAATGACCAGAATTCTTAGGCAAACAAGGGTGGAAAGCAGTTAAAGGCACCGTCCACCCAAAATGGAGGTTGGCGAGATTTTGATGGCATACTGGTGTGGGCCCCACACTAGGCAAACCCCCAAGCTTCGCCGCAAAAGACTGCCTCTGGAGCGAGTAATCCGCTCCGGAAGTAGCAAAGTAGGCGGGGCGACCAGGTGCTGAATATTGACTTTACAACAAACAAACCTCACTACTAAAAAGATCAACTTCGATAACCTCTAAATACTAAATTTGGTCCTGACTGGAGCAAATTCACTTTTGAACATTATTTTGAAAGTTTCTTTGAAATTCCGGTTTCAGCATCTGAAGCGACACTGGATAAGGAGGAGGAGCTTGGATGTCTTGGTCTCTTGAAGAGCTCGTAATCATAGCGAGCCCAGATGTGCCTGGCAGGCACATCACTTAGGTGCGAGAATATGGCTCGGGTGAAAAACTTCCGTCCTCCCAGTAAACTGCATACGTCGGGTATACTGTCAATTGCGTAATGATCGCTTTCGGTGAAATCACTCGAGGTATGACCGATGCCTATGAAAATAATAAATGCCTCGCAAAATTTCTCACTACTATATTTTTCATTGAATATGCCGGCACAGCGTTAAGTCAACATAGTGATTATAACCACTCGCCTAAGTAGTTGACTCTAGTGAACACTCTTGAATAAAGTTTCCTCAAAAAAATTCACGTGATGGAGGGAAGAGGTCAAGGTAAATGGATAAACCTACCAAAGATCCTTTCGCATCATGAGTAATCAAAGCAAGTTTTCTTTGTTCTTCTAACGAGCAAGACCTTATGAGTGATGCGTCGGGTACAATCAAACGCAGAGTACCCGACCCTACACCATTAGAACTTTGAATGCGATTTTCCACCACTTCTTGGGGAACATTCTTATTTCCACCCATTAGAGACGGCTGGAATAGTATGATTATCTTCAATAAAAATAGCAACTCTCAACAAATCAAACTATTATCAAATTGTCCCATAAGTTCCGTCCGTTTCGGATTTCAATCGCAATAAATTATGAACTTCTTGTTTCTAGATAGATTCCAAGGTACCATTCGATAGAGCAAAGCAAGCACTACAAGAGGGCTCGCATTTGCACCAGCTATACACCACCAATCTATCTCGAGTTTCAAGGCGAAAAGTAAAAAGATTCAACTGCCCGAAAAATTGAGAAAAAATCATAACTCCGTTTAAAAAAATTCTACAAAAAAATCTAGCTTGCTCGCATAAAGACTATCCATCTAAGACATTTACATACGTTGTTGCAGTATTTCTTCCATGGCTAGAAATTAAGAAAACAAAAATATTCATGTTTTTGCTAAAGCGATGCTCTGCTGTCCCTACACATACCCTCGACGTCAATCCCTAAGTTACATTTGCAAAGTGGAGTGTTGTGGTGCGGCCGCCTCGCTCTGCGCTCGCGCCACGTTGCTGAGGCATCGTTTAGACGTGATGTGGCGCTAAAAACAACGTGGCGCCACAACATGTTCAAGCGTGGCAACAAAAACAACGTTTCTTCGTTGCTGCTGTTGCCACGCCATGCCAACTCATGCGCTCGGAAGGTGGCGCGAGCTCAAAGCGAGGCGGCCGCACCACAACACTCCACTTTGCAAATGTAACTTAGGGATTGACGTCGAGGGTACGTCTCCCCGCGATAGATGGGGCGTGTCGTCTGCAAAGTCCGTAGACGTGGGTATTTCGTACGGTATCAGCCATGGCGTGGCATGTATATACATGCCACGTCTAAATACTTGTTGAATCTTCATCATATAACATTAGTTTTCGTACTCTGTAACTGCCAAAAACTGCCACGCGCATACGTGGGAAACGTTGGCAAAGCCACGCCGGCTAGCACCGTACGAAACACGTACATACACGGACTTTGCAGAAGATACGCCCCATCTATCGCGGGGAGACGACGATAGATAATTGTATACTACTAGCCCGTAGAAGTACAAATGTAAATTTTCTGCTCTCCATAGGCACTAGTTTTCGAGAAATATGGAGTTTAGCGTAAGGCACCCAACTAAGGCAAGTTGTATTCCATATTTCTCGAGAACCAAAGCTTGTAGAGAGCTGAAAAGTTATATTTGTACTTCTGCAGGCTAGTAGTATACAAGTATCTATCAGTGGCGTACCCAGGATTTCGGCTCGGGGGGGGGGGGGCGGCAAAAAATTTTTTCAAATGAAGGTGCGTGGCGTCAGCCACGCACTCCGAAAATTTTTTAGGGGGGCTTCTCAAAATTTTGGGGGGGGGGGGGGCCGCGACCCGTTCCCGGGGGGCTGCAACCCGTTCCCGGGCCCCCCCCCCCTTGCCCCCCCCCCCTCCCTCGGTACGCCACTGGTATCTATGTAGGCACAGCATAGCATCGCTTTAGCAAAAACATGAAAATCTTCTTTTCTGTATTTCTAACCATGGAAAATACGGCAACAGCGTATATAAATGCCTTAGATGGATAGTGCTTACGCGAGCAAGTTAGATTTTTTTGTAGAATTTTTTTAAACGGAGATATGATTTTTTTCTCGATTTTTCGGGCAGTTGAATCTTTTTAGTTTCCGTTTCCGCCTTGAAACTCGATATGGACCAGAGCTGGTGCAAAAGCGAGATAGCGTTCTTGTAGAGCTTGCTTTGCTCATCGATGGTACCCTAAAACCTATCTAGGAACAAGAAGTTCATGATTTATTGCGATTGATTATCAAAACGGACGGAACTTTTGAAACAGCTTGATATTATATTAGGTTGTCCGGAAATTAATGTCCGTTTCGAATTTCAACCGCAACAAGTCATACACTTTTCATTTCCGAATAGCTTTCAAGGTACCATTCGAAAGAGCAAAGCAAGCTTTACAAGTTGGCTGTCTTGCTTTAGCAACAGCTCTGATCCACCTCGAGTTTCGAGCCAAAAACTAAAAAGATCCAACTACCCGAAAAATCGAAAAAAATCGTAACTCAGTTCATAAAATCCTACAAAAATTCTAACTTGCTCACGTAAATACTACCCAAATAAGACATATATTTACGCCGTTGCCGTATTTTTTCCTCTGTTAAAGGATAAATAAAAAGGATAAAGGATTCGGCGCCTTCAATACTCTCTGAGGGCATGCGCCGAACGCACACACTAACTTCGTAGTCGAAGGGGCAATTGTATGCGTGCGAGCCTATTACAGTGACTTGCGGGGCCAGCCGTTTCCAAGTCAGTGCTTTTATCCTCCCAGATTACTCTGGTACCAATTTACCTGCCCCGAAGGATAGAGGGCTTGGTTGGCCCAGGGGCGGGGATCGAACCTGTGCCCGATCTGGTCATAGCGGCGCCTCATACCACTACGCCATTCGTCCCCTTCTCTGTTAGAAATCGAAAAAAACGAAAATGTTTATGCTTTTGCCAAAGTGATGCTGTGTCGTCCCCACATAAGTAGATGTGTACTACAAATCTGTAGAAATACAAACGTAAATTTTCGGCTCTTTCAAGCTTTAGTTCTCGAGAAATATCGAATATAGCTTTCATTAGTCAGGTGGTCCAAACTAAAATTCAAATTTCTCGAGAACTAAAGCTTGTAAAAAGCTGAAAATCCACGTTTGTACTTCTACAGATTTGTAGTATACATCTACTTATGTGGGGACGACACAGCATTATTTTTGCAAAAGCATGATTTTCGTTTTTGTTTCTAACAGAGGAAAAAATATGGCAATGGCGTACATATAAGTCTTATGTGGATAGTGTTTACGTGAGCAAGTTAGAATTTTTGTAGAATTCTTACGAACTGAATTATGATTTTTCTTGCTTTTTCGGGCATGAAACTTTTTAGTTTTTGGCTCGAAACTCGAGGTAGATCAGAGCTGTTGCTAAAGCAAGACAGCCAACTTGTAGAGCTTGCTTTGCTCTTTCGAATGCTACCTTGAAAGCTATTCAGAAATGAAAAGTGTATGACTTGTTGCGGTTGAAATTCAAAACGGACATTAATTTCCGGACAACCTAATACTTGATGGAATAAGTACTACGCTCCATTCGAATGCAAAATTTTGTTGACTATGAAGGTGTACTCAGAAGCGTCGTCTCCCGTCATTCACAACCTCTCTGCAAGAGATTTCCACAGCATCTTCGCACCTCGTAGCGCTGAGGTGCGAGGGACGTCATGCAGGAGGCAGCAAAGGCTTACCGCATTTGCCTCTGGAAGCGCCTGGGGAACTCCAGATTCCTCGCGCCTCTAATCATTTTTCACACCTCTGATACTTTACAAGTTAAAGAATTGAACGAAAATTTTTTTGGAGAGTATCTCACCCTGGATTAATTTGAGATTCTTGCAGTTTTTTTCAATCTCAGCTATAATCGTCTTCAATTTATTTGGATATTGGGTTCAGGAAATTTGACTCCAAAATTCGCAACAGAAGGAACTGATTCTGATGCAGAATAAAGGACGAGTGCAATAATTCTTCAAAATTCCTGTCTTCGATCAATAACTGAGAAAGATTTACATGTTTGAGATTCTGGTCTGAAGATTGAATAGACCAATTCATACTTTAAAACCATTTGACGTTGAATGGCTATCTATGAGTCTTTTTTGAACTTGTTATTTATCTTACTTGCTACGAATTTAAAACGTAAAAGCTTCAAAACTTGCCAGCTTTGAGAAATCAACGATCAATTTGGCATAGGTCGTCTGTAATTAGAAGTGCGAAGAAGCAATTAGAAGCACGAGGAAGTCTGGAGTTCCTCAGGTACTTCCATAAGCAGAAGCGGCGAGCCTTTGCTGCCTCCTGCCCGACCGCCAGGTGCGAGATTCCCTCAGAGGTCGCGCGATTGTCACAAATCATGTGCCGATCGGAACCTCAGGAAATTCGTAGTTTTTAGTAACTTGTAATACAAAAATTATAAAGCAAAAAATGGAAATAAAATAATCAATCAGTGTTGACTGAATCATTTGTTGGTTTCTTAGTAACCTGCAAAAATAGACAAAAATAAAAAAAAATCAAAATCAATTAACTAATTACATTGAATTATTTATCTGTTTATTGGTGACTTGTAATACCGAAAATAACAAAGCAAAAACAATAAGAAAAGTTGCGCAGTAAACTAGTGCAATGACTAGTGATTTAGCAATGTTAAGGAAAGAACAAAGAAATCTGAGTTGTAGCATGGTTAAGATAACGAGAACGTTGGGGTATGCACTCAGTCGTATTTCAATCCGACAAACCCTCTAAGACACGCAAGAGTTATTATTGAAGATTTCAGCGAAATCATTCAGGGGATCAACAAATCTTTCACTAAAGCCCTGTCTCAGCCCTATAAATACTTGTGAAGCAAATTTTTCATTTATTCAGAATGAGCGCGATTAGAAGGTGGAGCAACGGGAAGGGCTAACCTCGGCCCTGTGAAGGTGTGACGTCCCCTCGGGGGCGCTAAGTATCCCTGTTAGAAAAGGCGTCAAGGCATTGAGAACCCCTGGACCGCCGTTTAAAAACCAACCAATAGGTCAGATTTAATCAGATCAATTGTAATTTTGCCTGTGATTGCATAATTCTTCGTGTTTTTTATTAAATTTTTTATTTTGTATATTCTTCGTATTGCGATTTATTACTGAACGACAAATTCTTTGCGGTCCTGATCGTTATACGATTTGTGGCAATCGCGCGACCTCTGAAGAATTCTCGTACCCCAGGGCATGACGAATGCTGCATCGAATGGTAGGCAGCTTGCTTCAATTGGCCACTTCGACTTCTGACCATTCCCTTGTAAGTTTCAAGATTTGCATGAAAATAACCGAATGAAAAGCCGAGTATAACCTTGATATTATTCAGGGTATTCATGTACTGCTGATGCAATGGCAGCGTTGCAGAAAGCGTCGGCTGTTGAGGATGACTCAAAAAAGAATATGCCGAAAGAGCATCAACCGAGAAATTGGGAACGTTTGTAGGCTTTTGAAAGTGGGCAGCATTAGTCCGCAATCTCTCCGCTTGCATCCGTTCGGCGATGCTGAAGCATAAGATTGAAAAATGAGCAAGTATTTAGGTATGTAATTGTACTGGGACTTTATAGCATTTTTGCCGTCACTCCCCCACAAGGCGATTGGTTTGCGTCAAACTTATGATACTATAAGGAATTTTTTTTCCCACGACCAGGGCTCTGCACAGGAGGCTTACGGGCAAGTTGGATATCGTCTCGGGGTCAGAAACAAAGAGGATATTGTTTTGGAGAGTCGACATGGTCGTCGGAAAAAATATCTGTACTAGCCTAGCCTAGAATGGTGTATAATGAAAGCGCCATGCAAAAGCGGAGTCTCTGATTCGAAAATACTTTCAAAAACTTGATCACGCAAAGCAGTCTAACTGATTTTTCTTGAGAACTGTCAAATCTTATATATAAAGCTGAATGTCTGTTTGTATGTATGTCTGTATGTATGTCTGTATGTCTGTATGTACGTAAGTTCCGAATAGAAAATTCCATTTCTAAACCGATCGGGACCAAACTTGGCACACATACACTTCGGGCCCCGGCGGTGTCATAGGCTACTTTTCGTCATCGATCGATGTCGATTTTATCGATTTTTTGCAAAATTTGAGCTACGGGGCTGGGAGTTGGCACAGGGGGGTAATCGAGCATGCTGATCACCCCCGTGGGGGGTGATCAGCATGCTCGATGTTCACTACTGCCTATTGCTCTCATTCATTGCAAAAACAACAGTTTCCCCCTCAGCGTGCAAGCGCAGGAATTCAAATGTGCCCCGAAATAAAGAAAAGGCTTGTTTACAGCGAAGAGGAACTGGTATGACGCCAAAATTGGCGTGAGATGCGCACTAGGGAGTTAGAACTATTTAAGAAGAATTATGGAAAATATGCGAGGGCGCGGCGCACTTTTCCCGGAGTTAGGTGGCTTTTGAGCCACTTGGAGAGACGGCTGAGGTAGCTCGGAGAGAACAGTGCCATATCTCTTCTTTTCTTCACATAATTTTTCCATACTTCTTACACGCTTACAATCTACACTCAAAACCCTACAAATCAGATTAAACCTACTCAAAGCCCTCTTCCCCTTAGTCATAGCCCTCCAAAAACTTTGAACTGCGGCGGTAACCGTGCTCCAAGCGCGCAATGGTTGCACATGCGAGAGTAACTTGATCCATATGACAGTCAGTGCAACTGCTGTGTTAGTTAAATCGCACCAAGGGTGCCCGCGTGGGCAGGCTGCATTAAACCGCTGGGTATCTGTTTACAAATTCTCCAAGTGATTTCTATACTCCCTACATTTGGGTACTTAACACGTTGACGACCGCGCCATTTTGGACGAAACTCACACTAACGTCCTTCGCGCATTTGGCCCATGCATACGCGCATATGCACGAAAACATTATGTGGGAGTCTTTTTGACGCTTATTCATGAAACATGCAAACTATGTTCAGAGAAACATGTATATCGCAGAGTCTTACTAGGACTTACACAAATCAAGGTTTTTGCCTTGATTTTCCCTCCAATAAATCATGCAATGGCTATATCTGAGTAATCCTTTTTCGAGAAAAGCGTTGTGATAACCGTTTTTTTTGCCTGATTCATCCTTGTTTGCTTTCAAAACAGCTACACAGAGTTTCCACCTTCTCGGAAAAACGTAATTAACTTGTATTTACCACATCAAAAATGGACATACTACCCAAAATTTCTGAACAGCTGCCGCGATGCCCTGCGTTCTTTAAGAGAACCAGGACACCAATAGTATTACTGCATAAAAGTTACCTTAAAACTTTTCGTTTACACCCAAAAAACTATCGTGCATATGCGCGGATGCACGAAAACGCTAAACGGTAGTCAGAGCGTGCATACGTGCGTATGCACAAGGTCGTCAACGTGTTAAATATATGCGGAGCGCCCTGGAGAAATTGTACAGACGGAATGGCATTGTAGAACACATGACTGGGAAATGCTTACCACATGAAACATTCTGTAAACGTGAAAAAAGGACTCCTGGATATTCGATTTCTTTGCTGGGGCATAGGGATTGGATGATCTTATATATAAAGCTGAATGTCTGTTTGTCTGCCTGTCTGTCTGTCTGTATGTCTGTCTGTCTGTACGTATGTTCCGAATAGAAAACTCCATTTCTGAACCGATCCGGACCAAACTTAGCACACATACACTTCGGGTCCCGGCGGGTGTCATAGGCTACTTTTCGTCATCGATCGACATCGATTTTATCGATTTTTTGCAAAATTTGAGCTACGGGGCTGGGAGTTGGCACAGGGGGTGATCGAGCATGCTGTTTACGAATATAATAATGACACGGCCGGACTAAATAAAGTTTTTTTTCTAGATAAGAAGGTATTTTAATTGCCACATATTGTATACAGTCATTTTTTTCACACTGGTAACTTCGAATAAAAAGGCTTAATGGCCTTCGCACAAGGAGCGAAATAGCAAGGAAACTTTGAATTTAGACTCTTTGCGGTTTTTTCAAATACAAAGTAGATCAAACAATGCTAGCACTTTCGAACATTCTGCGAACTAAAAACTGTCCCCCCCCCCTGTTACAGGTACCCTGCGCCTACCCACCGCTATGTGGGGAAACGAGATCAAGAAGAAAACGCTACGGACTTATGGGTCTGATACATATACTGAATACTGAAAGTCTAAAATTATCGATGCAAATCAAAACATAAAACAATACCTTGTCGAACCAAATGTTAGGGGTGGAGTGTACTGATCTGACCGTTGTACTCCTGATTAAAGATAGCGGTAATGCCAACCTATAAGTAGGTCTTCCAAACTTACCCATCGGATAATGGATGATATTCGCATCATCAACAGTTCGGTAAAAATTTAGGGATGGCGTTAGACCAAGTCCATTTGCGATGTAACACGGCAAAATGTTATGACAGATTTGACTACCGGACACTATTGATGAAGAAATCGACGAAGATGTATCTCCGCAGTTAACTAGAGGTTGTTGCAGGAAGTAGGTAGTGTTTGTTGGAATGACTCCGCCCGAATGGAGCAATGGTGACACAGTGAACTGCACATTAGATTCAGCTGGTTCACGTTTATTGACGTGCAGTATCGACCTTTCGCCTGAATTAGTATAAACCATTGATGAACACACAGCGAGCGTTAGATCTCTATGTCTTTACAATACCGCTCACATTTTTTGAAAAATAGACGCGAATGTATGGACATGTATGGACGTGTACGGACATGTCCATACATGTATGGACATGTCCATACATCAGCGTCGCGTGGCCATATCTCGCTTCAGAGTGGACGAATTCTGAATCCAAAGCCACCATTCGATTCAGCTCGGCGCGGAGAATCTTCTGATATATTATTCCGTTTCCAGTTTTTTCAATTTGTTCCGCGGAGGTCCTTTCGCGATTATGTGAAGCAACGCCTACCCAACATAGAAGACTTTACTGAGTACTATTCGATAATACTGTTTTTGTAGATTATGGTACGCTAAAAAATAGGCTCAGACTTCTTTCCAAAGAAGATAGAAGCGTTGGTGAATTTTGGAAAATTCACGCGTTTTTAAATTCTACTCGCCATAACTTCCTTCGGAATAAGTATATTTTGAATCCGAAAACAGCGCCTTGCTCAGCTCATCAAGGCAAATCTTTCTATGTACAGCATGTCCTTGATATCTCGATTTCAGTATTCTTGAGTCTTTCTGAGGACGTCTTTTCGCGAAGGTGTAAAGCAGCAAGCATTGTCCCGAGTACATTCCAGCAAGCATCTTTCGATAGCACTTTTTCTGTAGATTATGATGTGTTCAATAGTAGCCGCAGGTTTCTTTTCAAAGGAAATTGAACGGCTGGTGAATTGTGGAAAAATCTTGTCGTCCCAAATTCTACTCGCCATAGCCGCAGGATACGAAGCTATCTTGCTAAGCAGATGTGAGTTTCGAAATCAGCAGGTCGGATAACCTCTGTGGACAAGTTTTCCGATATGTTCGGGTTATTCCATTTTTTCTCGTTTTACGCTCCAGAAGCTCGCCGATGGATTTTGGTCAAAATGTTGATGCTCCTAAATTGTAAGGAAACTTCGCTTATAGAGGTTTTCGGGCACGCTCTTTACGAAAATCGTGGTCTTTGAGGATTACAGGGTCTTTTTGGAGAGATACGGTTAGGTGACTGTAACTTCATCACGAAAGTGCGTAAATTTGCCCGCACTTCTCGCGTATCTGTCAGAAATCTTGCCTGCTTGTTTTTCTCAGTCAAAGTTACTAGGAACTGTGCTATCGAATGGTGCATTACTCAGGCTCCACTCTGTGAAACTCGTCGAGTTACGAGCCTACGAAAACACGTTCTCATGAGCTTTGCTCAAAATGTAAAGATCGCATATCTCGTCGAAATTCCTCCGTGAGCGCTTGTACAACGCGCTGATCAAATCCTTCCACATTTTTAATGGATCTTATTGTGTTAGATTTGGTGCTTTGAGCTCTAGCCACGAAATAGCTTTGATAATTGAACAGCTGAAGCAGACGCAAGCGCCATATTCAGTACAGTGGGAGTCGTTCGACGAAACGAGCATAATATCTGCAACGAGCGTCATACAAGCGCTCACGGAGGAATTTCGACGAAATATGCGATCTTTACCTTTTGATCAAAATTCACGAGGACGTATTTTCGTAGGCTCGTAACTCGGCGAATTTCACAGACTGGAGCCCGAATCATGCACCATTCGATAGCACATTTTTAGTAACTTTGACTGAGAAAAGCAAGCAGGCAAGGTTCCTGATAGATACTATACTTGGGTCCGAATCGAATAGAATTTCGATCATCGAATAAAACATTCGAATATATTCGTATTCGAAATTCGATATTTGGAGTTCTTCGAGTTTCGAATAATATTCAAAACTCGAATAATTGAGTAGACGGGGTTTCGAATAAAATTCGAAACTCGAATAATCAAAAAACAGGGGTTTCGAATAAGATTCGAAAACTCGAATAATCAAAAAACGCGTTTTCAAATAGATTTTATTCGAATGTTTTATTCGAATGTTCGAATTCGTATTCGAATGAACTCCGTATACAAATTATTCGACTTTGTTGCAGAGCCAACTGCTGAGTATCAAGCTCATTCGTCCGCGTTTTTTTTGCAAAACTCGGTAATGCAGCTTTTGCAACCGTTATGAACTTTGAACTGTATGGAGGGTCGCATTCTTCCGACTGCTTGACAGTAAAAATCATATGTGGATTATTAATGCTTTTTCGATCAATGAGATTGTTCGCACTGCTATTGGCACCAAATCAGCAAAGAAGCTATCAAATTCAAGCTCATGTTCCGAGTTCATATATTAAAAGTATTTTGAAATGCCTGTTTTTTTTTCTTTGGATTGCTCATGCTTGTGGTACGCAAAGCCCACCTAGTGAGCACTCTTGCTCGCATAAGTTATATTGCACAACTGCTTACCTTGGAGTTTTTTTTGCGAATTGGTGTGTTTTGAGTAAAGGACATCGCAGTTGTAGTGGAGAATTAGACGGTTTAGATCGCCGTACGCGATTTGCCAGTTACAGCTGGCGTTACATTTGAAATGTCTTCAAATGTAACGCCAGCTTACCACAAATGTTCAGCGTGTACAATTTACTAAAAAGATAAATGCCGTGCATTCTGTACTTTTAGAATAAGTTTTGGACATGACTATTGCCAAACCACGTCGCCACTGCCTGCAGTATGCCCAGGGCTAGGGGCAATCGTGCTCGCTTCGCGGGATAAACCGCATGCCTTCGTCCACGATTAGCTCATGCCACACAAGACGAAAGTCTTCGATGAACAGGCAATGTATCGTAGCATTTGTGGCATTTAAGTACATATGTGGCCACCGTTGTTGCGGGGCTGGGAGTTGGTACAAGGGTGTTAGTGAGGGTGCTGATTATGGATAGAAATTTACTTTATCGATTTTATCGATTTTTGGAAAATATTGAGCTACGGGGTTGGGAGTTGGTACAGGGGGGGGGGAGGGTAAATGAGGATGCTGGTTAAAACCGGAATCTATTTTTTCTTCAGCGATTTTCGGAAAATTTTGAGCTAGGAATTGGTATAGGGGATACGAGGGTGCTGATTATGAATGGATCGGCTTTAGCCAGATACGTCAGCAAGTTTGAGATATGCTTGCTCTGGTTATTCGATAAAGCATTCGAATATTTATTCGAAATTCGGCTCCCAATGTTCGAATATAATCGATATTCATTCATTCGATATTTTTGAATTTCCGAATTTATTCGGAACTAGTTGACTTACCCGGCTCCGCCCGCCCCTGTCATTATTATATTCGTAATCAGCATGCTCGATTACCCCCCTGTGCCAACTCCCAGCCCCGTAGCTCAAATTTTGCAAAAAATCGATAAAGTTGATATCGATCGATGACGAAAAGTAGCCTATGACACCCGCCGGGGCCCGAAGTGTATGTGTGCCAAGTTTGGTCCGGATCGGTTCAGAAATGGAATTTTCTATTCGGAACATACGTACACACATACAGACATACAGACAAACAGACATTCAGCTTTTTAATATTCATTCATTCGAGAATTTTTGAACCTCGAATTCATTCGATGTTCATTTATTCGAGATTTTTTATTTTCGAATTTATTCGATATTCGTTTATTCGAAAATATTCCCTTTCGAATTTATTCGATATTCATTCATCCGATGAATATTTCGAATTACCCAAGTATAATAGATACGCGAGAAGTGCGGGCAAAGTTACGCACTTTCGTGATGAAGTTACAGTCACCTAACCGTATCTCTCCAAAAAGACCCTGTAATCCTCAAAGACCACGATTTTCGTAAAGAGCGTGCCCGAAAACCTCTATAAGCGAAGTTTCCTTACAATTTAGGAGCATCAACATTTTGACCAAAATCCATCGGCGAGCTTCTGGAGCGTAAAACGAGAAAAAATGGAATAACCCGAACATATCGGAAAACTTGTCCACAGAGGTTATCCGACCTGCTGATTTCGAAACTCACATCTGCTTAGCAAGATAGCTTCGTATCCTGCGGCTATGGCGAGTAGAATTTGGGACGACAAGATTTTTCCACAATTCACCAGCCGTTCAATTTCCTTTGAAAAGAAACCTGCGGCTACTATTGAACACATCATAATCTACAGAAAAAGTGCTATCGAAAGATCCTTGCTGGAATGTACTCGGGACAATGCTTGCTGCTTTACACCTTCGCGAAAAGACGTCCTCAGAAAGACTCAAGAATACTGAAATCGAGATATCAAAGACATGCTGTATATAGAAAGACTTGCCTTGATGAGCTGAGCAAGGCGCTGTTTTCGGATTCAAAATATACTTATTCCGAAGGAAGTTATGGCGAGTAGAATTTAAAAACGCGTGAATTTTCCAAAATTCACCAACGCTTCTATCTTCTTTGGAAAGAAGTCTGAGCCTATTTTTTAGCGTACCATAATCTACAAAAACAGTATTATCGAATAGTACTCAGTAAAGTCTTCTATGTTGGGTAGGCGTTGCTTCACATAATCGCGAAAGGACCTCCGCGGAACAAATTGAAAAAACTGGAAACGGAATATCGAAGACATCGTAACCCCACTTCCAATATATCAGAAGATTCTCCGCGCCGAGCTGAATCGAATGGTGGCTTTGGATTCAGAATTCGTCCACTCTGAAGCGAGATATGGCCACGCGACGCTGATGTATGGACATGTCCATACATGTATGGACATGTATGGACATGTCCGTACATGTCCATACATGTCCATACATTCGCGTCTATTTTTCAAAAAATGTGAGCGGTATTGTACGTCCCAAACTAGCTATTTCTTCTTCGCATTTTCTGAATGTATAAACGATTTTCATAGAGCGGAAAGCCTTTAAAAACCTTTCGAAACTGTTTGACTTTCCTGAGTTAGCTGTTCGACTCTTCATGATTCTCGGCAGAAAAAGTTCCAAACAGGGAAATATCCCAACTCGAAGGCACCACCCAGATCCTCGACTTCCAGGTTTTTTTTCGTTTCAGGGCCTTCTTGTCCCTGACTCCGAATATTAAATCGGAAATCCGCGACAACCCGGACAAAGTTTCGGAGAACCCGCAGGGCGAGTTGTGCGGAACGGTGATTGGTTAGGTGCGCTCAAATGCGCGGGACGAAGTCACGAGGGCCTGTGTACAACGATGCTCTTGAGAAAATGAGTGTTACCGGCTGTTTACGCAGTGATTAGGCGTAGTCTTAAAGGGAGCGATCACCTAAGGTGCGGATTGGAATGAACCGCATATCATTGGATGCCCTGATGAGTCAATTTTAGATGTTGCATATCTATTATACGATGCCGTATTCTGGAAAAATTTATAAGCGTTCAAGTATCCAGTTTGGCAAATATTCAGGGCGTCATCCTCAAGAACTAGCTGTTAAACACTTAAAAGCAGCGTCCGGGCAAATCTGGGCCTATGGGGACCTCACTTGGAAGGTAATCATGGAGCCCTAACTACAATAAAATACTACCAAAACGGCAGCTCAAAGGCACTGTCCATCCAGATTCTCGACTTCCATGTTTTGGTCGTTCCGGAGCCTTCTCGTGTCTCTGATTCCGAATATGGAGTCGAGAACCTACGAAAATACCGACAATCCCCTTCCTCGGTACTCCGGAACGGGGATTGGATGGGCGCGCACAGATGGGCGGGCATGGAGGGTGGAGGGCGGGCATGGATGGGGGTCCTTGTGCATCTTCGCTATTCCGAAGCGATTTTCTCGCTTCCGAGGCGGCATTTTGCGTCGCGACTTGGGCATTGGCTTGATAGGGGGCCTTACTATATATATGATGCCAAGAGCTCAACACCTTCAATTTAGGGTGGAAGGTGTCTTTGAATGGTGAGCTCACAGTTGAGTATTCGCCTCCACACTAGACCCCGGGATCGTATTCGCATGCATCCATGGCGCGCCACATCAGTTTCGCGCGAGGACCCACGCGTGTCGCGCCATGAACCCATGCGAATACGGTCCCGGGGTCCAGTTTGGAGGCGAATATCTCAACTGTGAGTTCACCATTTGAGCTGCCACTTGGGCAGTGTCTTAGGCCCTCAAAATTACTTTCCACATCAGAACCCCGTATGTTCAGATTTGCCTGGACGCTGCCTTTAACTGTGTCTCCGCTAAAAGTGAGCACTTCTTGGATCAGTACACTCAATATCTTGCTAATCATGCACTTCCAAGTTGGGTATAAAACACGTCATGCATTAGAGCTCCAATGACTTCCTCTATTTGAATGCGGTTAAATATGTGAAATTCCTAGAAGGCTGCTTCCATTCAATCAGTGCCGGGCCGTGTTCCCACTATTTCATAATTTATGTAGAAACTCTCAATGTATTAGGTCGTGTAATAAGTTCTGCCGCATTTTTTGTTTTTTTTTTCCTATTTTTTCTCAACTATACTGACCACTTGGAGTGAAGTTTATATAATTTGGAAGCTCTAAGTCCGCTCTACAGATGCATACGCGTCATACCCAAAATAGCAGGGAGTTGGAAAAGACTTTCTGGCATTGACCCTAGAGGCGAAAAATTCATTTTCGACAAGTACATTACGTCCCCATAATAAGCCAGAATGCGTATGGAACAGCTTGAGAAAACCCCGCGCGTATCGAGAAAATGGTATGTTCTGCAGCGCTTTAGAAGTGCTAAAAAGTTCCGAGAATCACTTCTGTAAACTTCAGGAAAGTCTTTTTTCCAACGTCTCTTCAAGGATGACGATGGGCATTTGAAAGCAATTCCAAGAGAGGGCAGAAGATGGATAATCCAGAAAAGACAAAAGGAATGGTTTATGGCTACAAAGTCATAGAATTCAAAGGTTACTCAACAATTTTAAGTTTGAAGTCACACAGCTTAGGTACGTGAGACGGCGAACATCGCCACGACAAAGCCTTGCTTCTCCGACTTGGAAAAAAAATGGCAGGGAAGAAGCACGAACAATCACAGTACAGACATAAGAGCCTATTAGGTTCTTTGTTGAATGAATTTTACCAATGGAGAACCGAAAAGTTTAGAGAGAAGAAAATGTCGAAAATGGATTTTTCGCCTCCTCAGATTTCTTGTTTCAATACCTTTTTCTTTCATGCTAACAAAAGCGTGTTTAGTCGAAATGGCCTTTCCATATGTCACCCATATAACTTTGTAGAGCATTAGAAGATGACTTCAAATCCATCTTCCTTATCTGTCAAGGGCTATGAGCCGAGTTATGAGCGTTTTTTATGTTGAAAAATGGAATAAGCAACCGAGACGAAACCGTCCAGAATCGCTCAAATGGTCAGATGATGATTATCAAAACTTCATTCAATAAATACCTTCCATAATACCCTCACAATCAGCACTGCTCGGGAGCAGGAAAGATTGTGACCATTGTTTTTGCTTAGGTTCTGCATTCATTTTCTGCTTTAAAAAACGCGCATAATTCGGCGTTCAGAAGCGCTTGACAAATAATAAAAGCATATTGGGAATCAGCGTTCAATGTCTTCAAAATGTATAAGAATAAACTGAAAAGGCCACTTTGACCGAACACGCTTCCCTTGTAAGTTGGCGATAACGCCACATCTGTGGAGCAAAGCAATGACTACCAAGTGGGACCGCTTAACACTCATGGTGTGTCAAGGCTTGAACTTCGTTAAAATGACGACTATCTTAGTACACACTCATACCAGAAGTTTTATTTTGTTGCGAATTTAGGGGTAACCTCTAGCTTTTTTGTCAGGCTTCCACAACTACTGTAGGTATACTGTAGATGGCAATATGCGTGATTTTATCTGGAAAATGCTGACTGGTCCGTGAAAGGTCTTGGTCCCAAGAGGTAGACAATAAATGCGTTGTCGTCAATACGTTAAAGCGGGAACGCCATGTGATGTGATGCTTGAAGCGTACGCCACCTCACACTACGTATGAGTACTTCCCTGCGTTATCGCCATTCTTGCCGGCATATGCTGAGGCCTTAGTGATGTTGCAAAAGCACAAGTCAAATAAGGGGCCTACAGGATCGCGAGAGTCAGACGTGAGTACGGCCATTGCGCCGCGCACGTCAGATGTGCGTCCGACGACTCAGGTAGGTGTCAGACTTATCCTGTTGAACAGGTTCATTTGGTTCACCACCTTTGCTGTTGGACAGTGTAGTGATTTGACCTATGAACCGAGCGAACCGGCTGAAATTGATATATAGGCTGTACCAACCAGCATCGCTTATGCGACGTCGCGTCTGCGGCAGCTTGCGACGATGCGGGTGACGCGTGCGAACTCTGATACCCGCGAGAGCACGTCGCATGCGATCGTGCGTTCCCGCAAGGCATGCCAGCGCGGAACCGATGCTGGTTGGTACAGCCTATAAGTCTGGCACCTGCCTTAGCGACATCGGACATGCGCGGCACAATGGCCCATGCACGTCCGACTCTCGCGATCCTGCGGGCCTCTATACTCTCTTTTATGCTTTGAGTTGCTCTGTAGTGGACACTAGAGGCAAATTTTTCTAGAAAGCTTCCGTGATTTTTTGCATGCAATATGCATGCCGTATCCCATTCTGGTGAATGACAGACTTTAGCATGTAGATGAAATTCCATTTCCTCACGATTTGCGCATATACTGTAGTAGCTAATGACAAAATTCCAAAAGCTCAACAAACCGGCACTGCTGGTCACCGAACAGGTCGTGGAAGGATAGTTAGTCTGTGCTTGGAAATTTTGACTGATGGTGGATGATATGCGAAGCATTTTACATTCAGCTTGCTCCTTTTCGTTAATCCAAGGAGTGTCGCATTTCCTGAAGGAATTTGTCGCATTGAAGAACAGGAAAAATGCAACACGTGTACATATTTGATTTTCAATGCATGTGACAGTTTCCTGCTTTTGCTGCGAAAGTGAATTTGTGACTTCTACGATAGCCTTAGCTGAAAATTTGACGTCGAAACACGATGATAATACAAGAAAGTTGTTGTTTTTTTTTGCACAAGCTCAGACAAGTGTGTCATGCTCCTTGAAATTTTAGCCTGGCATATCGCAGAACCTTGAATTGAATTTGATGCACGGTGGGCCTGAAGCTTCTTTCAGCCTGGTTCGTAGCGGGTATGCATCTTCGATCTGCATCGAGCGGCAAGTGATGCAGGAGTATATCGGAAAAGCCGCATTCTCAAAAATGTTATCGGGTAGCACGCGGGCAGAAGGGATTGCCATGAAGAGGGTGAGAAGGCAAATGAGAAAAGCAGATGTCAGCTTGTGCGTTTTTCATTTTTCTTTGCTTATCATTAGTCAAACAAACATTCTTTTTCTTTAGTTACACTTTAGCACTATCAAACATTTATATACTCATTTCGCGAGCTGTTCAAGCCACACGAGTTTAGGGGATTTTGATGCTAACAGTAACAGTTGTACAGTAAGAAGTAACAGCTGAAGTAAGTAACAGCTGTACTTCTAAGAAGAGGCATACTTTACCGTTTTGCCCATCTCACAGGTTAGACTCGCCAAGCCCGGAGGTTTATTATCAACAAGTGATATGCTATTACTAATAAAATCGTTTTGAAGACACACCAAAAGACAAACGGGAAGAAAATCACAAACAAATCTCTCAAAATTGAGGATAGCAAGCAATATTTATCCTGTATTACTCTTAAATTGTGAATGGAGACGATGAATTTCTTCATCAATTACTAGTAAACCAGTAATCCTAAAGGTGCTAGATTTCCATGCGCGCTTCACCACATTGCGGTTCCCGCTATCTTATGTTTTTTAAATTGGCGTTATGTTTCCTTAAATACTAGATTAGATATGATTGATATTCTTCTTGATTCTAAATGTCTTGCAATCTTGTTCTATACCGTGCGAGGAAAATCGACATACCCCCCCCCCTCCCCTAAAATCCCGCAGATAAGTCCGCCTTTTTGGCACGAAAAATCGATGAAAAATCGCCCTCGAGCCGCCAAAAGTCTCGCAGATAAGTCCGCCATCAGACAAGTCCGCCTACGGATAAAGCGCGACCTAAAAGCACAGACGCGCGCGACCGCCCGCGTAGCTTGCCGGTGTAGATTTAAACAAGGCCGCGATATCGCCTGAAAGAAAGAGCCAAAGGATTCGACAAGCCGTGCAGACTATTTGCTCACAGTATCGTCGCGGATTTGTCATCACATACGCTGGATAGGTGAGTTCTTTTCTTGTTAGATATGACATTTCTTGTTTGTTTAAGTTGATGACACGATAGTAAGATTGGATTTCACCCCATTGCCAGCGAATACTAGGCAGGGGAGACTTTTGATATAGGCAAACTACAACACGCATCTCTTACGAAGTCTTTTAGAACGTTGATCGTTGCGCATATCTTGCTCCGCAACAGTAATTGACAAATTACAAGGAGACAAACGGTTCGTAGTTTCGCAAAAGACTACAGAGAAGTTGTTTCGGATATCACATGTTTCAGCTATTCAATCAAAGCCGTGAATCGTCTGAAAGAGATTGTCTAAGGATTTGACAAACATTGCAGACTCATAGCCGAGAACATCGTCGAGGGATCTTCATCGCGTACGCTGGATAGGTGAGTTCTTTTCCTGGATATGACAGTGTGTGTACGAAATTGAGCGATTTCTGCCGATGAAAAGAATCATAATAGGTATCATCATTGTACCATTGTAATATCTCATCTTATCATTGGTAGCATTCATTTCGAAAGCGACAATGTTCTCAACACATCGCTTGAACCTGTACAGGCTACAAGCCTTGAACCTTACTGCCTATACTTTTTGCTTCCTCTATTGTGTTCTCTTTCCCTCTTCCTCTATTATTTCTGCTTCGTCTTCTTCTCCTCTAATGCTTTGTTTTTTCACTACGGGTTTTGTCAAATGCTTTGATGAACGGAAGAGTGACAGTCTAAAACGCTCAACCCTGGCAAAGCATAAGGCTTCATTGTTCTTTTTCTCAACTGTTGTTTCATTGAGCCTGTACATCCAAGACAAAAGACAGTGTAGTCAAATTTGATGCCGCCTGCTTTTTCTTGTAAAAGAGTAAACCTTTCGATGATCGCGCAAATTTATAGGACTCCGTGTGATTCCAGTGTGCAATGACCGCTAACTCAGCGAAGTTCGCAATCACGCAGAGCCCTATATTTCGTCATAGTCTCACATGCTGTAACTCAAGCTGTTCAGGTGTTTCGGATCTCAATGGCTACCAGAAGGAAGTACTATACTACGCTTTTTGAGCTTAACGCGGTAGAACATGCCTTGGAACAACATTGGCTGCAGCGGTTCATTGCGAAGTTTCTGCACGTCTGATTCGAAGATGGAACGCCGATAAGGAGATTTTGGAGGATATGCCATTGAAGAAACGCGCCAACCGTTATGGGAAGCAAGGTGGAGGAAATCGAGGAAGCTGTCTATGCATGGATTGTGCAGAGGCGAGAAGCAAGCAGAACAGTGCTTGTCAAGGACATTCGAGCGAAGGCATTGCAGCTAGAGCAGGAGTCTGGCCGCCAGTACTTCAAGGCAACGGCGATGTGGTGCAAATCATTTATGAAGAGAAAGAATTTAGTCATTAGACGAAGAACCACCGTCGGTCAGCCACGTTTTTGACGACGATGAACACGGAAAATGGAACCTGAGTGAAGATCTGTTGCTTTGATTCATTTTGAGACCAAAAAAGGCAGCGCAATTGCGCACCCCTACTATTTTTCGTCTGAGAAAAGAAGCGGACTCATCTGCGAGACTTTTGGCGTGTCAAAAGGCGGACTTATTTGCAGGCGGACTTATCTATGGGCGGACTTATGTGCGGGATTTTAGGGGAATCTTTTTCGATTTTGTGTGTTTGCTTAAAGCCATACAGCTGCGCTTTATTGGTTATCCGACGTCGGTCACTGTGCGATCTGCGGGAGATCGGGCTAGCACCCGCAGTGCTCTCGAGGAATTTTCTAAAATGAAATACCTCCGCACACCAAAGTATTCCAAAGGTAGACTGAAAAGCGTCAAAAAATCTATGTATGATAGCGCCACAGCTTTGAAGACTTCCAAACAAGCTTACGCAAGATCGTGTTGTTCACGTTGCGGTGGAGCGTCATGAGGGGGATTTTGCGAGCTACTGCTGGTGGCGCACTCCATACCTTCTGAATTACGAAAATGAAATGACGCAGTCGAACTGAGTGGAAGACAGACCTGGACACTTGAGACCTGATACTCCTTCATTTCCAGGCTCTAGCTCAAGCGAAGGAGAGCCAGTCTGGCGTGACTCTGGGTTAATCATTAAAAAGTTTCATTACTCTGATGATATGTGATGGCCAAACAGAAACACTCACTTGCATCTACTACAGTAGCCGTTTCGTTAGCCCCCACCTCCACCTCGGAATAGAATAATACACTAAAACACATAAAACTTTGAAGTTGACTGAAAAGTACAACTTGACAGAACATATCACAATCTTATATATAAAGCTGAATGTCTGTTTGTCTGTCTGTATGTCTGTCTGTCTGTATGTACGTATGTTCCGAATAGAAAATTCCATTTCTGAACCGATCCGGACCAAACTTGGCACACATACACTACGGGCCCCGGCGGGTGTCATAGGCTACTTTTCGTCATCGATCGATATCGATTTTATCGATTTTTATCGATTTTTTTGCTGAGTTCACCTACGGGGCTGGGAGTTGGCACAGGGGGGTAATCGAGCATGGGGATTCCGAATACAATATTGGTTTTCAGGATTATCGATTACTTTTATCGATTTTATCGATTTTTTTGCAAAGTTTGAGCTACGGGGCTGGGAGTTGGCACAGGGGGGTAATCGAGCATGGGGATTCCGAATACAATATTGGTTTTCAGGATTATCGATTACTTTTATCGATTTTATCGATTTTTTTGCAAAGTTTGAGCTACAGGGCTGGGAGTTCGCACAGGGGGGTAATCGAGCATGGGGATTCCGAATACAATATTGGTTTTCGGGATTATCGATTACTTTTATCGATTTTATCGATTTTTTTGCAAAGTTTGAGCTAGGGGGCTGGGAGTTGGCACAGGGGGGTAATCGAGCATGCTGATCACCCCCAAGGGGGGTGATCAGCATGCTCGATTACACCCCCGTGCCAAATTCCAGCCCCCTAGCTCAAATTTTCAAAAAATCGATAAAATCGATAAAAGTAATGGACGATCTTGAAAACTAATATTGTATTCGTAATCTGCACGCTCGATTACCCCCCTGTGCAAAATCCCAGCCTCGCAGGTCAAACTTTACAAAAAAAATCGATAAAATCGATAAAAGTAATGGACGATCCTGAAAACTAATATTGTGTTCGTAATCAGCATGCTCGATTACCCCCTGTGCGAAATCCCAGCCTCGCATGTCAAAATTTACAAAAAATCGATAAAATCAATAAAAGTAATCGATAATTCTGAAAACTAATATTGTATTCGGAATCCCCATGCTCACTTCCCCCCCTGTGCCAACTCCTAGCCCTGTAGGTGAACTCTGCAAAAAAAATCGATAAAAATCGGTAAAATCGACATCGATCGATAACGAAAAGTGGACTGTGACACCCGCCGGGGCCCGAAGTGTATGTGTGCCAAGTTTGGTCCGGATACGGCGGAGCCGGGTAAGCCAGCTAGTTAACCTATAAAGCAGAAACTAGAGTTATCGAAGTAGCCAATGTACTAGATACTCAACTCGTGCACCGAAGTCCATTTATACCGCATAAAATGTCATACTTCTCTATATTCCAGATAGGCTTTGTGTTATCACTAGTTGAAGTAAAGCAAGCTCTACAAAAAGGTACTCAAGGGTTAGACAAAGATATCTAAACAGTGTCCGACGCAGAATTTTTTCTCTATAGCAGAAATGTTTACGTTCCGAGATTTTTGATGGTTGCTCTAATAATTAGACTCTCCAACCCATGGTTTCCCCCCCCCCCTTAAATTTTACTATTTTTAAGATTTTCGTTCCTGACTTCTAGAAGAACTTCCATCACTATGGGATAGAGGACATGCAAAACAATAATCTTTTAGGGCCTTTTCGACTGGCTTGCTAATGTTTTCAAAAGCATTTCTTTAAAAGTCTTCAATCTTGCAAAATCGTAAGACAACAAACGCCTCAAACTCCAACCTACAGAATCTGAAACTGCCAAAATCGATTCTAATCTTATATATAAAGCTGAATGTCTGTCTGTATGTCTGTATGTATGTTCCGAATAGAAAATTTTATTTCTCAACCGATCCGGACCAAACTTGGCACCAGGTTCAAGCTTGTGATGCGACTGTCGCAGCGGGGGTAGTAAGAGGAGGTAGTTAAGCTAAAATACCCTAAGCTCAAAAGGGAATCAAAAAGCAGATAATTAGTTATGTTCTTTACAACAAATTTATAAAAAAAAGTGGAATTCAGAACGAAAAAGATAGAAAATCTGTAGAAATTCTCAAAAAAAAAACAGTTACAGGAGCTCGAAACACTAGGATGTATGATTTGATAAAAATGCTGAATATACCGATTGCCCTAGAAATCTTGCTTTTGAAGCCCCCCTGAAGTCTCACGCACTCGACAAAAGCGAATATCTTTACCAGCTGTGAGCATCATGAATTTCTAAATCTTTTTGTAATGTTTTCGCGGGCCCATATGATTTATCTGTACTTTGAAAATGCTCTTCTATATCAATGCAAAATTTTGTGTTATTCTGTCAACTGTGGATTTTCTTATGATTTTATGTATGGCAGCAAAAAATGAGAAAAGGGGGGTGGTGGTATCTGCGCCTCATCTGAATTTCTCCGAAGCTAATGAAGCTTGTTAGCTGCAAACTTGCTGTAATACGAGGCCATCCCTCTATTTTGTATCATAAGAATTTCAGACTGTTTCAGAACTTCTCCGGTGAGATACAGAATTTTAAGCTTAAACATTCCACTTTTTGCTTTTTAGGATCGCTTCTAAATTTTCGAGAGTCGCATCTAGATTTTTTCGAGCTTACTGCTCCTCCATGGCTCAAAACTCTTTCCATGAATAGTATGGGCACAATGCTGCAAAGCCTGTTCATTGCAGTCTCTCAGTCTTTTCTTGCCTTTAGTTACGAAATTTCAAAATACCGTGCCCATGCATGTTTTTGACATCGTTCTGGATGGCGCTAAAACAGTTTTTTTCGCACGAGAACCTGTGCAAAAGGTAGGAAGTAAGCTATTTAGTCAAAAACATATTTTACGCTTCAAAGATATCGTTATTTCTCCCTTTAAAAAATGGTGTCGCGTACGGGGACCGAATTTTGCTGGCCAGAAGTATGCTTGAAAATTCGAAAAAAACTTGCAGGAACCCAAACATTATTGAAGGGTGTATGCGTGCCAGAGGTGTTGCACGTACCCCTTGGCTCAGAAATTCTGCTTTCGAAGCCCCAGTGAAGTCTCACACACTCGAAAAAACCCCATATCTTTACCAACGATGACCGTCAATAAATTGTAAACCTTAAAGTAAAGCTTAATCTTCATTCAGATCGGAATCGATGTTCTGCTTTGTCAGATAATGTCCTTTCCATTCATATTTTCCGAACCACAATAAACATAGTCAAATCTTTGTGGAATTTTACTACTTAACCCAATCTACGCAGAATTATTTGTGAGTTGATTTTTGAATGGCGAAGCATTACTTGCATTATTTCGCAATTTGTAAGTAGTTATCTATTTCTAATCTATAATTTTGATTGAGGTCCATTGGCAGGCATTTTTTGAGATTGACATTCATCATACAGGTTACCGCAAAAGAAAGTGGGAGGCATAGGTGGGAGGGGAGGAGGTAGGTGAGGGGGGTCGTACGGATAGGTGCCTTCAGGGGTGGGGGTCGTAGAAGAGGGTCTAGGATCGCATCAACACGACTGATCCTGCTTGGCACACAATACACTTCGGGGCGGGGCGGGTGTCATAGGCTACTTTTCGGCATCGATCGATATCGATTTTATCGATTTTTATCGATTTTTTGCAAGGTCTGAGCTACGGAGCTGGGAGTTGGCACAGGGAATAATCGAGCATGCTGACTTCTAAAACAGCAGGAATGGGAAAATGGCATGTAGACGTGGACACAAGGAAAGGTTGTACAGGGACACGGATGAGAGCTTTACCATTTTGGCAGGGGCGGGCGGAGCGGGGTAAGTCAGCTAGTTGAACACTCATTTACTACGTTGTCCGGAAAATAACGTCGCATGGCATCCTACTGCGACAGAATGACCACAAAAAACAGCGAATGAGGTACATTTGAAGAGAAAAGCAAACTCTACAAGATTGTTTACAAACCTCCGCGGCAATCGTGCTCCACCTGAAGTTCGAATTCAAAATATAAAATTTTTTAGATATCCGAAAAATCGTATCTCCATTCATATATGTCTTATGGATCTCCAATTTGCACAAGCATGTACTCTCTACATTAGACATTCACCTCTATAGTTTGTGGTATTTTTCCATGGCTACAGTACGAGAAATAAAAATAGGTCAAAAGGGCGAATATGTCGCGTTTTTTCAGGTTTTTTGCAAACAGTCTGATTTTTCTCGCAAACTAGCTCTTGTCTAAAGCTGAAAATTCATGGTAGTCAAATCTTCGTGGAATTTTACTACTTAACCCAATCTACGCAGAAATATTTGTGAGTTGATTTTTAAAGGTTACTAAAGGTTCATACTAAAGAATCAACCATGTGAGAAAGCTCAGGATTGTTTTGGCAAAAACATGACGAACTTCGTTTTCTCAATTTACAGCTGTGGAAAAACCGCGAAAATGTGCATACGAGTATATCGTATAGTGAGTCCATGCGTGAGCAAGTTAGGGGTTCCCAGGACTTTTTAGACGGAGATACGATTTTTTCGTTTTTTCAAATCTTTAGTGCCTTATGAAATTTGGCTCCAAACTTCACGCAGATCAAACCTGGCGCGATTGCTCGAGATTCATTTTGTAGGTTGCCTATCAGTTGATATCCCACTCACTTACTTTCGTGCGCACCCTGCTGCGATATTGCATGTTAACGATGCGACATTATTTCTCGGACAAACTAATAATAAAGCAAGTGAGTGTCTAACGCTTTGAAATACTAAACTCAGAAATTACCAGGAGCTTGAGGTGCGCTCAGAAGCTGGGATTACAATGATTCCATCCTCGAAACCCTTACGAATTAGAGAAAAAACTTTTGCCAGAAAAAGGAAAACAATCTGCACCATATCACCTTAGTGGCTCGCTTCTGGTCTTCCATGAGGTTTGAGGTGACCAAATATGGAATTTGCCAGCATGAAAAAAGCACTCCGATGTGGATTGCGTTGAGCCGTTGACGATTTCTTAGAAAAACACAAGAATTCCCCCTCTACATATCGGCGTACATGCCGAGGGTTCACTAGGATTAATTTCATAACAACACGCG